CTGAATAATCCTGGAAAATGTTGGAAAGCCATAAAATCGATATCCACCGGTGATATAAGTAATGAGCTACCTCCGTGCATTGCCACAGCATCTGGCACTATATCGGACAGGGCCACTATGTTAAATTGTTTTAATGAGCATTTTGTGTCCTGTGGCTCTCTGTTTGATTCTGTCACTAACTCTGCTTCTGTTAACACCACAGTCTGTGACTCTGAAAAACGTGTTTTGGAAAACCCTTTTAGTTTTACTCCTTTTACTGTTGATGTTGTTCGTGAAGCTTTAACCAAGTTAGATCCTAAGAAACCGGCCGGCCCGGACAACGTAGAACCTTTCTTTTCAAAGATAGCTGCAGATTTTATTGCTCCACCTCTCACTACTCTTTTTAACCTCTCCCTCAGCACAAATACAATTCCAAAATTGTGGAAGTCAGCCTATGTCCTGCCTCTACTAAAAGGTGGGGAGGCCACTTTATTAAATAATTATAGGCCCATCTCTAAATGATCAGTTCTGGCTAAGGTTCTTGAACGCCTAGTAAGTGAACAGGTAAAGGTGTTTTTATGTACAAATGACATCCTGTCTAAACATCAGTCAGGCTTCAGAAAGCAACATAGCACCATCACTGCCACAATGAAAGTGGTGAATGATGTGGCGAGTATTTTAGATAATAAGCAGAGTTGTGCAGCTCTATTTATTGACCTTTCCAAAGCGTTTGATACCGTCGATCATCGCATCTTAAAGCAGAGGCTACTCAGTATTGGCATATCCAGCCATGCTGTTGGGTGGTTTGTGAACTACCTCTCTGAAAGGTCCCAATGTGTTCATTTTGATGGGCTGTCTTCTGAGTGGTTAAACATTACTAATGGTGTTCCTCAAGGTTCTGCTTTAGGTCCACTTTTATTCTCCATCTACATCAATAGTTTAGGTGAAAATGTCGATGGAGCAACCTTACATATTTATGCGGACGATACCGTTATGTACTGTGCAGGTCCCTCCATTAAGGAGGCTGTTGTTGAATTGCAAGCTGTTTTTAACATTATTCAGACTCAGCTCTCTGAACTTAAGCTTCTTTTAAATGTTGATAAAACCAAGGTAATGCTCTTTTCAAAAGCTAAAAAGACACCAGAGCCTGTTTTAGATATTGTAACTACGCAAGGAATAAAACTTGAAGTGGTTACCTGTTACAAATACCTTGGTATCTGGCTTGATGACTGTCTCACTTTTAAACGTCATGTCAATAACCTGCTTAAAAAACTGAGGGTTAGGCTAGGTTTCTTCTACAGGAACAAGTCCTGTTTCTCGCTCGAGGCCAGGAAAAGGCTAGTCACTGTGACCTTTTTACCTGTGCTGGACTATTGTGATTTGATTTATATGAATGCACCTGCCAATTGCCTGGTCAAGTTAGATGCTGCATATCACAGTGCACTGAGATTTGTGACAAACTGTAAAGCATTAACCCATCACTGTACCCTGTATGCAAGGGCTGGTTTGCCTTCGCTAACTGTACGGAGGCTCAGTCACTGGTACATTTTTATATACAAAGCCATGTTAGGGAAACTTCCATCCTACATCTGCTCCCTGATCTCACGGCGAATTGTAAGTGGCTACTGCCTGAGATCGCATGCTGTGGTTTTATTAAATGTGCCAACTGCTAGGACTGTCTTAGGGAAGATAGCATTTAGATGCGCAGCTCCACTGTCTTGGAATAGTCTGCAATTGAAATGGAAACTGAGCAATCTGGTGCCACTAAATGTTTTTAAAGCTCGGTTGGATGCTACTCAATCGGAAGCTGTTGGTACCTGTTCATGTGGATAGTTATGTAAATTCTAATCCCTGTAATGATGCTGTATGATGTCCTTTTTGTTGTTCTGTTTATGTTTTAATGTTTCATGTGGAACCTACTTGAGCAGGTCTCCCTTGAAAAAGAGATCAATGATCTCAATAGGATACACCTGTCACAGTCTGCTCCATCATTCACCAGTAGTTTTCCATTCACCTGTCTCACCTGTTAACCACACCCACGTTTTTGCTCACTCTCTTTCTCTTCTGCACCCATTAGCTTTACTGCCAGTATTTAAACCCTCACCAGACACACACCCATTGCCAGATCGTACTTTGCCTTCATGCTAGTCTTTCACGCGTTTGTTACCAGATTGCCCACCCGGTTCCGACCCTGCCTGTCCCTGACCTGCCTGCTCTGCCTGTTCCCTGATCCTGCCTGTCCTTGGACTATCCTGCCTTGCCTGCTGTCTGACCCTGCCTGTACCTACGTTGACCGCCTCGCCTGCTCCCTGACCCTCTGCCCGGCCCTGACTCACCTTCTGCCCGCTGTCCTCTGGTTTGTCGGCCTGCACATCATCCGGCTGATACTGTTCTGCTGGTATTCCTCTGCTCTGGTAGTATTACCAATAAAGTACATTACCAATACTCCTTGGTTTCTCGAGTGCTGCATTTGGGTCCTTCATAAGATTGTGACAACACCTGGATAAATAAAGGTTTGAAATGAAATGAAAAAACTGTTCCTGTACAAACATGAGTTGGTTGGATTCTCTGTCACAGTAAGCAGCGCAGGTTGGACACAAATGCAGGAGACAGGAACTGTTAACAGAAAATACCATATTGCAAGCTAGTTCCAGACGAGACAAAACAGAACAGAAATTAATCAAACACTGCAAAAAAAATTGTGAGACCTGTAAAGACACGATTACAGTAGTCGAGTCTACTGAAGATAAAAGCATGGACAAGTTTTTCCAAATCCTGCTGTGACATTAGTCTTTTAATCCTAGATATGTTCTTTAGGTGATAGTAGGCTGATTTAGTAACTGTTTTAATGTGACTGTTGAAACTCAGGTCAGAGTCCATGACTACACCTAGATTTCTGGCTTCATCTGTTGTTTTGAACATTGCAGACTGAAGCTCAGTGCTAACTTTTATATGTTCTGCCTTGGCTCCAAAAACCATTACCTCAGTTTTATCTTTGTTTAATTGGAGAAAGTTCTGACACATCCAGTCATTGATTTGTTCAATGCACTTACTCAGTGTTTTAATTGGAGAATAGTCTCCTGGTGAAATGGTTATGTAAATGTGGGTGTCATCCGCATAGCTATGGTAACTTATTTTGTTGTTTTTCATTATGAGCCAGTGGTAGCATGTAGATGTTAAAGAGAAGAGGCCCCAAGATGGAGCCTTGAGGAACCCCACATGTCATATTTGTCAACTCAGATGTGTATTTACCTATAGAAACAAAGTTGTTTCTGTCCTTTAAGTAGGATTCAAACCAATTTACAACTGTTGATGAAAGTCCCACCCAGTTTTCCAGTCTGTCTAGTAATATGTTGTGGTCAACAGTTCCAAACGCAGCACTGAGATCTAATAATACTAACACTGAAGTTCTGCCACTGTCTGTGTTTAAGTGGATGTCATTGAAGACCTTTACAAGAGCAGTCTCAGTGCTGTGGTTTGGACGAAAGCCTGACTGGAACACATCCAAACAGTTATTTAAATGCGAGAAATTACTCAACTGTTGAAAAACAACTTCTTCAATGATTTTACCTAAAAATGGGAGGTTTGATATGGGCCTGTAATTGTTCATTACTGAAGCATCTAGATTATTCTTTTTTAATAACGGTTTAATGACTGCAGTTTTCAGGGCCTGTGGAAAAACACCTGAGTGAAGAGATTTGTTTACTATATGAAGTAGATCTGAGGCCATGCAATGAAAAACTTTGTGTCCATTAGTGTCATAGGTCTCCCATAATCAAAACATTCCTAAGCAGTGCAGTGATACTTCTTCATGGTTTTCTGCGCAATGTGTTGTGTCTTTCTCTTGTTTTGATTCCTCTTGTTGCTTGTCCTTGGCAGAGGGAACAGATTGATGATGCAGGCAGTTGACTATGTTGGAGATAAACAATTGTACTCCTGACTTGTTCAGGCAAATTCCATCTGCCTTAAAAAGATGTCTGCTGTCCAAGAAAAAGTTAAAATTGTCAATAAAATGTACAGAATGGTCAATACAGGCAGTTGAAAGCCACTTGTTCAGTGCAAACAATCTGCTGAATCTCTCCACTCCTCTTCTGACTGGCGGTAGAGGGCCACTGATGAACACCTCCGCATTTAGAGAGCTGACAGTTTCCAACACACATTTAAAGTCTTCTTTCAGCCCTTCTGACTGTTGTTTCACAACATAATTTGTTCCAATGTGCAGTACCACATTTTTCACAGTCGGATGTTCAGCCCCAATATGCAGGATCTTCTCAGCCAAGTCAGAGACCATATCCTTGGGAAAACAGAGTACTTTGGTGTTGTTCTTACTACACAGACTTTGTACATCTCTTACAGCAGAGTCACCCACAATCAGAGTTTCAGGCCCAGTCGTTAGCCTTCCCTCAAGGCTTTTACTTTTGGAGTAGCTATTGGTCCTTACCCTGCTGTGTGAAGAGGACAGGTTATCCAGCTCATCAGAAAGAGATCTCCGGTTCTGTGTCAGTGTAGCGTATCTGTTCTGGATTGGCACACTCAGTGGTTTAGCAGGATTGTTTGTAGTTCTCCCTTTAGCAGCTGTCCACGACTATTTCCTAGTATGAAGAAGGGTTGAAGAGGCGCTCTTCCTGGGTGATAACAATGCAGGCCAGCCGGTCGCATCACAGATTTCAGAGCGCTGGGCTCTGCCTGTTATTCGTCCTCCCACGCTACTGTAAGACTGAGGTCGTCGTAAAATTTTTGAAATATGGCTGAAAGCCTCCGTCTATTTACGAAGAATAACTGTCCCAGTGATAAGTTAATGTCCAGGAGCCACTCCTCGAAGTTTTCAGAAAAGAAAAATAGAAAATCAGCATAAAAAAGTAAGCAGAGGCAAGAGCAAGCAGAAAAGCGTCTGCACTGTAAGAGGGGGGGCAGTACTCCCATAAGGCTGACCAGACGGGCGAAGACGCTCTGAAGGACGGGTAGGAGGACGAAGGTCGTGACAAGAGGGTGGACCAAAATGCAGGAGACAGGAATTTTAAAACAGAAAATATTTTTATTTTACTCTTGGTCCGAACGAGGCAAAACAGAAAATAACTTCTCGAAAATACAGAAATTCCAACAATGGCTAATCATTATCTGGATTTTACGACGTATTCATGCAAAACAGTCAATTAAAATGTCAGAGAGGATTAATGAGTCAGGTAGATTAACATATATTAAACTAGAGTCCCCCTCTGCCCCTACTCTCTCTATAATGGAGGTTGTATTTTGGACTCTATTTGAACAAGGGTGATGGAATCCACCCTAAAATCACCCACTGGCTATATAAATAAACTTAAATATTACCACAAGTGATTAATACGTTGTACTGATTCAACCAGTAAGCTGTAATCAACTTGATTATGAAGTATAGTAATTACAATTAAAGGTCACTTTTCTGGCATGAAAAACAAATGCAGGCATGGAGTCTGTTTCTCTGGCCACCACGGTGACTGAGATAGATGAGTTTGGTTTTTCTGTAAGTTTGGGGCTCTCTGCTGGAACTGCTACCTCCGCGACCCGACCACCGATGAGTAGGAGAAGATGGATGGATGGTCTTGGTTACAAGTTGGAGAATGAAGCACCATGTTTCATGCCGCCGTACAGATTCTCCCTCAGAAAGACCAGCATCTTCCTCCAGGCGTCTTCCTGAGCGCGAGAATGTGCCACCAGCTCTCCGCCCCACAGAGCCATCACTGCAAAGACAACAAGCTAAACTATAACAGTCAAAACTCAAAGTCCTAAATGTAAGCACCCTAACTTTGATTCACTGAGAAATACAGTACTGCAATACTACCTGGTACAAGTGTTTGTCAACAGCTTTAAAATCAAAACAGCTCCACCTGTTAAAAATATGCTCAAAGATTGTTGGTCAACCCTGTTATAGACTTTATGACTCAGCCTTTCATAACAACTTAATAAGGCTGTCCAACAACATCATCTCGGACACAAACCATGTTCTGAACAGAAAATATGAACTGCTACCATCTAATGGGAGATACAGGGTCCCACGATTCAATAAAGTCAGACTGAAGCATACTTTGTGCTCCAGTCAATCCTCTCAGTAAATACAGAGCCAGATGAAATGCACGCTAAAGGGTCTTTGAGCATGTTTTCTCTCAGTGATTGTGCTGTTATGTTAAATGGTTTGTTTTTTTCATGCATTGTGTCTTGATATTTGTCTGTTGATGTTACACATGGAGCTGCTGTGATGCAAGTCACATTTCAGACTTGATCTGACCATTCAAGTATTATCGTATCCTACCCTTGGTTGGTGGGTTCGCGACCGTTTTGAAGGTGCTGGCTCGGGCGAACGGCATGAATGGAGGTTCGATCAGGTGACCGGCATTCTTATAGGAGAGGACAGTCAGAAGGTGGCTGTTCCCCGCCCGCTCCATCATCTCTTTCATCTGCAAAACAGGAAGTTAAACACATAATAATCTCATATGTCTTAGATCATCTCACAACCTTTTTTTTTTTACTTCTTCTATTGTTTCTGTTGCCATCATCTCTTAACTGTATATCTCGGGCCACACTGCCTCCAATGACCATCAATAATATAATGATAAGCTTCAACTAAATAAAAAGGTTGCATGTGCTCACTGTTAAATAATAATGATGACCCACAATTAAAAGCAAGTACTATGATAACGTATAGAGCCGTGCAAGTCCACAAAATTATCCTGCAAATATTTCAGTCCGCTCACAATGCCCTGTTTTGAACGAGATCTTAGTGAAATATTATGCCAGCTTATTAACAAAACGAAAAACATTTGGTCCGAGAAGAGAAAAACATAAATGGGTTTAAATTTGGTTGGAAAAAGAGAGTAAAAACTATTACACCAGTTTGATCCTTGATATATATATATATGTATATATATATATGTATATGTTTTAAAACATAATGAGATTTAATGAAATGTACATGGCAAAAAACTAGGATACAAAAATGGGTTGTTCATGTATCATATCCATGTTTTCAGTGTTTCATGTCATGTTGATTAACTCACGTCCATTGCACACTCGTGGGCGGGCCATTTCTGATCGTCCTCACCTACAACGAGCAGCAGAGGACACTGCAGTCGTCCCATCTGCTCAGAGACAAACAGCAGCAGCGTTTCAGATTGTAAATATAGAAGTATGACATTATCTACATAGCTTTAGCTTTGAAAAAGGGCCCTGTTGTGCTTTCTGGGCTTTTCCCTTTCCTGTAGGGAGTTATAAAGGTTGTTGTGCATGTTGGTGGTCTGCAAAGGCTACATTCCCTAAGTGTATTTCCCACACACTCCACAGAGCAGACTGGGCTCTGGTTTCAGACAGAGGGTGAAAAGAGGTGCTGCAGCACAGGCAGTATGAGAAAAATAAAGAGCTTTTTGAACATTGAAGCATGGAGACATGTCACAGGAGAGACAATACATACTAATATGAACCTGAAAATGAACACAAAAAGGCCCTTTTATATAGTACACAGTTTGTAAAAAAATAACAGAACAATTGATGGTACTCACGTCCACTTTTAGTGAGGGGTCTGTCGGGATGGGCAGCGGCAAATCTCTCCAGATTACTTGGTTATTCTCGTCAAAGCGAGTCTTATCAGCGTTTCTGATTTAAAAAACAAAATAAGTTGTCTTGATGGTGGCAATATGAAAATATGATCTGCAGGTCATTCTATAGAGAAAAAGAAAGGCATAAAGATAACAGAAAGAAGATTAACTTACCCGTTAAAGTAAGCCAGTATTTGTTCCACACTTCCACCAATCGGCTGCACATGACTCCCACTGATACACACTGCACAGCTGAGCTAGGAGACAACGCACACATAGACACACACACACACACATTCAGACACACACATACAAACACAGATCAGACAGCTGGACAAAATCAGGAAATCGGTAGGATAATACATGATGGTTCTGATCTCTTGCGGGTACTACGGGATGCTTTTTATCCACGGAGCGACCTCCAGACCTGGTGGACTACATTGACTTTTTTCTTTTTGTTCGGTCCTTAGGAGGACTTTCCCCTCTATGGTGATGGAGAGAGAGATCAGTTGGAACTGGAGCTAACAAAAACTGATAAATCAGTCCCCGTTTGTTGTGACAACAATCTCTCACCGGGCCAGAAAGCAGACGTTTTTTTTTGTTGCAAAGGCAGTTTTCCGATATGTGACTCCCAAACAACACGACATAGAAATGACCCGGGCAACACAATGCGTTCACTCCACTATCAGCTGCATGAACACAAGAGGAAAAGTGTTCAGGAAGAGCTTCAAGCTAATCTAGAATGAAGGGTAGCAGAAGAGTCCAACAGTGACCATTGTGCTGGTACGCAAGTCTGTTAGGTCAACTTGGTTCTGTGTTGACTATCAATAAGGCCATCAGATAAGCATACATTCAATGCTTATCTGATGGCCCGAGTTGAAACTTTCCTGGATCAGCTAGGCCTTATTCCACTCCGTACAGTTGTTACTCATTTGTAGCACTTCCATTCAGGTTGTTGTTGAGACGTCGAAGCAGCATATGGACCAAATGGAGCCAACCTAGCGAAGGGTGCAGTTGGGCAAAGGGGGCTAAGGTATTTGGGCTAGCACAAACCAAAAAGAAAAGAGGTCAGGATGTTTATAGAGCTGGCTGGCTACTACAGAAGAAAAACTAGTGTAATTCCAGTGTTTTCAAAAGCTTAAAGGGGACCTATCATGCAAAATGCACTTTTGTACGTCTTTTATACATGAATATGTGTCCCCGGTGTGTCAGGGAACCCACCAAGTGTCAGAAAACACAACCCTCTCTCTTTTCCTCCATACCCAAATCTCTAAAAACGGGGCTGCAACGGAGCTGATACAGACTGATACAGATTTGAAATTGTTCTGACGTCAGAAATGGGGTGCTCCGCCTATATGGGCAACTCTCCACCTATCAGGGGAATGAGAGGTTGCGTGGCATGGTAACAGCATGGTAACAGCATGGTAACAGCATAGTAACATGACGCTCGTGCCTCGCCCCCCTCCTTTGTAGGGGGGTCAAGTGAACAGAGCTGTGTCAGATGGCATTTGAGAGGGCCTTTTACCCATCCACAAAAATTAGTTCTGTTCCAGTTACGCGTTGAAGCTAGAGTTAGTTTGCACTTGGTTCAACTTGGTTCAACCCTTATCTTCAACCCTAAAGTCTAGGGTTGCGGTCGGATAATCCAAAAATCAGCTCCTAACGTCTAACCCTATCGTCTATTCCTTGACCTCTGAGTGAAACGTCATGGGGTTAAGGGATAGTGGGTAGGAGAATTCAAAAGGACTTAGGAGAAGAGACTGCGGTACTTTAGAGAATCCGACTGCACTTTCACTATCCGACGTGTTTATGATGCGCCAGCGGAGGTCATAAATGTGCGTCTGCTGCTGTGGGGAAACTATGGAAACTACAGTTTTCTATACAGCGGACTACAACATGGATGTTTAATAAGAACGAGGGACTACTGTAAACTCATCTAGAGACTCTGCACCGTGCTTTGATGCTGTTGTTTTATGCTTTATGAACGTGGACAACAGAGAAACGTATTCTTCATGATGACCAAAGTTGGAATTGAAATAAAAAAGGAAAGTGAAACTTATGCTCGTCACCCTCTCCCTCCGGTCCACATTAATACAAATGATCCCAATACGTATGATTGTATGAACTATGAAAAGATCTTAAAATCAATACAAATGTATTTATTATAAACGTTAGTCCTTAACATCTATCACTGTGTATATCACCATTCAAACATCTTTTAAAAGTTGAACAAACCCCACACAGCTCAGTAAGGACTGTGACATGTTGACTTTATTTGATCATTTCAGTAAAAACTAACGTTCATATTTCTCTTTTTGATTATAATACTGATGAACGTTCAAAACAAAGCACTTTGGCAACTTACCACATACGTTTTAAAATGCTTAATAAGCACCGTAACTTTCATGATATAATTTATCGGTCATAATCGGTTGTTTCCGTGAACGGCCGACTGTTGTGTGACGGCAAATGCTGCGGCTGCAAGGCATTGTGGGGCAGCATTTTCTCCTCTCCTTTCGGTGAGGGAGGTCCAGTGGTTCCTAAGCTAAAGGAGGTTATAAAGGAAGTTTGAAACCTCCTTTCCTATCATCTAGAGAATTCGAACGGCACTTGTCATGGCTGCCACTGAGGGACTTCCGGGTCATTTCACTCCGTTAGGAAGGTTCCTAAGCTAAATGGACTATTCGACTTCAGCCAAAGACCCCATACAGTGACAAGTGAAGAAAAACGTTTTAAAAGATAGTGTTGTTCAACATGATAACAATCTTAGCACTTCCGTGGTAGAGACAAGCTCTTATAGTTGACGTACATTGACGGTATGCAGTTTCTGTGAAATTAACAGACTAAATACAACAAATTGTAAAAATCTGCGTCAATATGATGAAAGTCACTAAGCTGGTCCTACCTTTACATCCTGGGAGTAAACAGCCATTCTGAGAGTGACACTGGTGCCAAAGGAAAGACCCAACATGGCGATCCTGCTGCCGAGGATCTGAGGATGCTGCTTCAGAACTCTATAGGCCGTCTGCAGAAGGAAAATATGTCAACAATACATTCATACATTGTTGATGTAGAACTGTATGCTTTAAAATTACATGTATATACACAGATTTCCCTCACTGTTGTTGAGGATAAAGCTTTTGTACATCTTATTAAGAGTAAATATAACTTTCAGATGGACACAAACGCAACTGCAATGAGATGTTCATGTTCTTGGGAGTTTAAAAAACTGTATTTTTCGGTAGAAGCTCATCTGGTTTACCTCAAAGTAATCATTGTCCACCATTTTCCCAGTTTCCTTAGTGATTTGAGGTGTGAGGTAGTCGAGGGCCATCGAGGCGATGCCGTGGGAGGCCAGCAGCGCTGCCCGGTACTCCACCAACTTCCCTCCTCCCCCCCAAAGGTCCAAGAGTCCGGGGAAAGGACCAGCTCCTTCAGACGAGTCAAGATACCAAAGACAAATCAGAATGGATACAATATTATCTTGATTCTTCGGACAATGATATGATATTTGCTGATATCACAAAGTCTTCCACGATATAATTTGATTCAATTCAAGGCCTTGAACCTTGTCCCCTCTAAACTCCCCCCAGAGGACACTTCCCTTAAAGGTCCCCTATTATACTGTTTTTCATCAATAGGTCTCAGATCAAATCAAAATCAAATCAAGTTTTATTTATAAAACACATTTAAAAGCGATTTCTGCTGTACATGTAATAAAAACACATTACTACAATCACAATAAAAGACAATATATATGAAAAAAAACCACAAGGAAAAGTCAGGAGTCGTGCTCCGCTCTAACTAGAAGGCCAGAGAGAAGAAGTGTGTTTTTAGTGTAGATTTAAAAACCCCTAGGGTCTGGGCCGACCTCACATGGAGGGGCAGAGTGTTCCAGAGCCTAGGGCCAGCTGCTGCGAAGGCTCGGTGCCCTCGGGTTTTAAGCCTGGTCTTGGGCACTACCAGCAGCAGCTGGTCAGCAGACCTTAAAGCTCTGGCTGGGGTGTAGCGCTGGAGGAGTTCAGCTATATAGGCCGGAGCCAGCCCATTTAGTGCTTTAAAAACAAATAAAAGGATTTTAAAATCAATTCTGAACCGAACTGGAAGCCAGTGTAGTGAGGCCAGAATTGGGGTGATGTGGTCACGCTTTTTGTGGCCAGTCAGCAAACGTGCAGCTGCGTTTTGGACTAGCTGCAGGCGTTTAATTGAGGCCTGGTCCATACCCACATACAGAGCGTTGCAATAGTCCAGTCTTGAGGTAACAAAGGCGTTAATAACCCTTTCTAAGTCATTAAAAGATAAATACGACTTGGTTTTGGCCAATAGTCTTATTTTTAAAAAAGCAGGATTTGACTACGGTGCTGACCTGCTTGTCGAATTTAAAAGTGCTAGTGAAGGTCACTCCAAGGTTCATGACAGAGGGGAGGATGTATAGATATATACAAAACATGTCTGCTCTAGGAGGAGATTCAGGTGATAAGTGGGGGGGGGTGATTGGCTAATGGTTACACAAGCCAAAAAATCATTATGACATCATAAAGTGGCCAAAATCTGATCAGCTCATTTTCAGACAGGTTTTTATATAAATGGATCAGGACAAAAAGAGAGAGAATCTTTTTTCCTGAAACTTTCAGAATCTCTTTACACAGAGGGGACACGTGCTTATGTATAAAAGACATGAAAAGGTGGATTTTGCATAATAGGTGACCTTTAAACTATCCCCCAGTCCTACCTGAGGGCAGGAAGAGGGTCGCAGTGAGTTTGCCGTCTGTTATCGGGACTCTTCGAACGCCAGGCGCCATGTACCATCGCTCTACCACCACACTGGCCAGCGACACTCGATCCAAGAAGCCCTCCATCTGGTGACCCTGGTACACCGAGATCGTCACCACCATGGGAGTCTGGACGTTCATCTTTCTCATTCTGAGGGATGAGGGGAAAGAGTCAACTCTAATACTGATTCTGTATTGATAGGTATTATTTGGTACTAATGTTGACCTACCTGAGCCCTGATTTGCTGCCTGGAACTGGTCTGAGGCTCCACAGCAGACCCATCGGTTCAACCCCAGAATATGTCCCGTCCAGACTGGGATCCTGTGAAACTGTATCGTAAAAGGGCATAAAATATTTCTCAATCGGTTTTCAATTAATTCCATAACTTTAAAAGAAAATGTGTTTTTATACTATAGGGAATGGGCATTTTGATGCATTCTTGGGCGAACGGGCCATCTTGTTAAGGAGAATATTGGCAGCCGTCAATATCAATCAACTTTCTACGGTCAGGTGTCAGCTGTTTTGAATCCAAAATAAATAAAGTAGGTGCAAAATACCCTTAGATAGAAACAACCAACAGATGCAGAGGAGTATTATTGTCGAGACGAAAGTATTAAAATAGAGATAATAATATCTGATAAAAACGGTGAAGGGCAAATTTTAAATCTGGCTCCAGTCCAGCAGGTGGTGACAGGGAGCCTAAAATCTGTGGTTCCACTAGAGATGTGGCTCAAAGAAGAGATTGAGTCACATATATAATGGGTGTTTCTCAATCGCGAGTAAAGCTGCTTCAGAGCCACTATTTCAAGCATACTACGTCATCGAGTGCCGCCGAAGTACTGTTCCAATCTCCAGCATACTTGGAAATCTACCGAGCCCGGCGTACTCCGTTTGGAGAAATATCGAGGCTGCACATGTGTAGACTCCGCGGTCTTAAAATCCCCACAATGCTTTGCGCACGGACCAATTTCCCCAAATCTGTGGCGGAAGATGTAAGGCGGGGCCTCTCATATGACGCACACCTGCACACTTGCTAGCGTGTTCCACACTTCGTTTTCCGAATACCAGGAAGTATTCTTGACTCGCTTCTGAAGCAAGATGCTCGGCAGACATGTGCTACCAAGCAAGCGTACTCGCGATTGAGAAACACCCAATGAGCCTGATGCAAAGCACCTGGAGATGCACACTCTCAGGACAAAAGACAGAAACAATTCACTGTGAGTGGCAGAGAGGAGAGGATTGACTCAAGGATTCACCCAAAGACACTGCTGGTAATATTTTTAAATATATTTATCTGGTTTGAAGATATGTTTGATGAAAAACATTGAATTTCATTATTATTTTTAGTTAGTCTTACAAAGTATTAACCTAAAATATAAGAAACTGGAATTAATTTAATTTGTTGAGATGAATTTGCTTTTGACATGAAATGTTAAGTTTAATTGTCACTTGATTTACATTTAAAACCATAGAGCAGAAATGAAAGTGCATGTTTAAGTATGGCGTGATTTTCATTTAAATGTTTTATTTACCCCAAGTGAAGGAGTTCAAGCAGCGGGAGCGGTACTGCAGTCGCTTTACTGCACCGTTGTGACGAAAAGAGAGCTGATCCAGAAGGCAAAGATCTCTGTCTACCGGGCCATTTTCGTTCCTACCCTCACCTATGGTCATGAAGGATGGGTCATGACCGAAAGAACGAGATTGCGGATACAAGCGGCCGAGATGGGTTTTCTCCGCAGGGTGGCTGACGTCTCCCTTAGGGATAAAGGCCCCTACACACCAGGCCGATATCGGCCGTCTTGCGTTGTTGGGCGAAAACGGGTTCCTTGTCGCCCAAAGTCAATTTGGTGTGTCCCGAACCCTCGGCCGTGACACGCCTTATGTGGCTTTTCACGGTCGACACAAGCTATCGGGCCAAGAAACCACTCTGATCAGACCTAAATCCCCCGACCAGACCTAAATATGGAGTGTGGACTTCTACTTGGAGAGGTCCCAGTTCACCTCCTGCCCTGCCGTGGTGCCCTTGAGCAAGGCACCGGACACCCCCCTTCCCCCCCACTCCCATTGCTCCCCGGGCGCTGTACAATAGCTGCCCACTGCTCCTAGTACTAGACTCCTTGTACTAGGATGGGTTAAAAGCAGAGGCCAAATTTCACTGTGTGTGCTGTGTGCTCTGCATGTGTGACCATTAAAGAGGGTTTCATCCCTCCCTATTCTATTCTATTCTATTCTATTCTATGATCAGCTGTTCAGCTAGCAAATGAGAAGCGAAACGGAAGTGAGGGACGTAAACAAATGATTTAAGGCACAAGACAGCAGCTAAACACCAGCAGGTGATACTTAAAGACATCAAACATAGCCCTTAAATGTCCTCTCTTACCTCCCACACATAGCAGGGACATCTCTGATATCGGCGGGAGCGTCCCCGGCTGTCCTCTGCTGAGAGCTCTGTGATTTGTTTGGTCAAGTCCGGTTTTTCATCTCATCGTACATTTAGCAAGAAGTGGCCATTATTACATTGCTGACTCAATAAACTACACACCCGCCAGAACACTGCGATCATCAGCTGCAGGTCTATTAACTGTGATTTTATAGTATGTCTGCACTTTATGTGCTCATTTCATCATTCATGTATTTTTATATTCTAAAACATGTTTTCGATGGACGAGTACGGTGGCCCGGAAGTGCAAGACACCACAGCATTTCATAAAACACCACAGCATTTCATAAAACACCACAGCATTTCAGAAAACACCACAGCATTTCAGAAAACACAACAGCATTTCAGAAAACACCACAGCATTTCAGAAAACACTACAGCATTTCAGAAAACACCACAGCATTTCAGAAAACACTACAGCATTTCAGAAAACACTACAGCATTTCAGAAAACGCCACAGCATTTCAGAAAACGCCGCAGCATTTCAAAAAACGCTACACCATTTCAGAAAACACAACAGCATTTCAGAAAACACCACAGCATTTCACATTGGACGGAAAGGGTATTCCTTTAGGGAGAACACTTCTTGTTTGTGATTGGACAGAGCCAGCCAGAGAAGCACTGCTGTGATTGGTTGTTTTTGCTGCCAGTCAAGAAATGACGCTTCGTGATCGGTCAGCACCCGACAGCGCAACATGTCATATACAGTCTATGGTCCCAACACATCAACCGTTAGCTGTTAGCACACACTCAGAGCTCACAGCTCCTCATATCTGTTCAGAAACTGGACAAAAGTTAAACAAGTACAAACCACAGACTGTCTATGTCATGGCGAATACAGTCGCTGCTTTATTTATGTCTGTATGACGCTGTTGTGAGTGTGGACGGAGCAGCTACAGGTTAGTTTAGCCTGATCGATCCGCCCCCTCTCCAGCACGTCTTGTTTGAATGACAGGAGTAAACACTGACAGCTGCGGTGAAACTCGAGCGATTAGAGCGATGCGAAAAAAACATGAATTAATGCTTTATTAATTCATGGTTTTTAAGTGGCTTATCTCCATGTAAATACTATGGTAGACTACCCAATATTCGCATCGCTCTAATCGCTCGAGTTTCACGGCGGCTGTCAGCTGTGTTTGCTCCTGTCATTCAAACAAGACGCGCTGGAGAGGGGGCGGGGCGTATCTCCATGTAAATCCTATGGGAGATACCAACTACAACAAAATGAACATATTGACCGTGATTTAATTGTAATACACGTTTCAAAGTCATGCCGAAGTAACTACATACTGATACCGGTTAGTAAAAACCATGAATTAATGCTTTGACAAGTCTGCAGACAAGACGGCAGGTGAAAAGCTTTTAAAATGCGTGTTTTCTGAATGGAATGGAATCCATCAGGCTAAACTAACCTGTAGCTGCTCCGTCCACACTCACAACAGCGTCATACAGACATAAATAAAGCAGCGACTGTATTCGCCATGACATAGACACTCTGTGGTTTGTACATGTTTAACTTTTGTCCAGTTTCTGAACAGATATGAGGAGCTGTGAGCTCTGAGTGTGTGCTAACAGCTATATGTCCCAACACATCAGCCGTTAGCTGTTAGCACACACTCAGAGCTCACAGCTCCTCATAACTGTTCAGAAACGGGACAAAAGTTAAACAAGTACAAACCATAGACTGTATATGTCATGGCGAATACAGTCGCTGCTTTATTTATGTCTGTATGACGCTGTTGTGAGTGTGGACGGAGCAGCTACAGGTTAGTTTAGCCTGATGGATCCGATTCCATTCAGAAAACACGCATTTTAAAAGCTTTTCGCCTGCCGTCTTGTCTGCAGACTTGACAAAGCATTAATTCATGGTTTTTACTAACCGGTATCAGTATGTAGTTACTTCGGCATCACTTTGAAACGTGTATTACAATTAAATCATGGTCAATATGTTCATTTTGTTGTCGAGTTTCACCGCAGCTGTCAGTGTTTACTCCTGTCATTCAAACAAGACGTGCTGGAGAGGGGGCGGATCGATCAGGCTAAACTAACCTGTAGCTGCTCCGTCCACACTCACAACAGCGTCATACAGACATAAATAAAGCAGCGACTGTATTCGCCATGACATAGACAGTCTATGGTTTGTACTTGTTTAACTTTTGTCCCGTTTCTGAACAGATATGAGGAGCTGTGAGCTCTGAGTGTGTGCTAACAGCTAACGGTTGATGTGTTGGGACATGTTGCGCTCGGGTGCTGACCAATCACGAAGCGTCATTTCTTGACTGTCAGCAAAAACAACCAATCACAGCAGTGCTTCTCTGGCTGGCTCTGTCCAATCACAAACAAGAAGTGTTCTACCTAAAGGAATACCCTTTCCGTCCAATGTGAAATGCTGCGGCGTTTTGTGAAATGCTGCGGCGTTTTGTGAAATGCTGCGGCGTTTTGTGAAATGCTGCGGCGTTTTCTGAAATGCTGTTGCGTTTTCTGAAATGCTGTTGTGTTTTCTGAAATGCTGTTGTGTTTTCTGAAATGCTGTGGTGTTTTGTGAAATGCTGTGGTGTCTTGCACTTCCGGGCCACCGTAGACGAGAGTGAAAATGGAACGCACACGCTATTTGTTTGTTTATATCAGTCTGTTCTTCTTCTCTGTCTTCCGGTTGTTGCCTATTTTGAATGACGAATACACACTACCGCCGCCTGCTGGTAAGGAGAGTTATTGCCACTCACGCATGCGCAGTTCGTACGTGCTCGGCTGAAGTCTTTGCGGTGATTTCCAGTGCGACACACGGCCAATATGCAGGAGAACTCGTCGATGGAACTGTCGGTGTCGGGTGTCGGCGAGTTCTCTGGTGACTGCCTGGTGTGTCAGGGCCTTAAGGTGAGAAGTTCAGTCATCCGGGAGGGACTCGGAGTTGAACCGCTCCTCCTTCGCTCCGAAAGGAGCCAGTTGAGGTGGTTCAGGCACCTAGTAAGGATGCCACCTGGGCGCCTCCCTAGGGAGGTGTTCCTGGCACGTCCAGCTTGGAGGAGACCGAGGGGTAGACCTAGGACCAGGTGGAGGGATTATATCTCTTCGCTGGCCTGGCAGCGCCTTGGGATCTCCCAGTCAGAGCTGGTTGATGAGGGGAAAGGAACGTTTGGGGCTCTCTGCTGGAACTGCTACCTCCGCGACCCGACCACGGATAAGCGGGAGAAGATGGATGGATGGATGTTTTATTTGCCTAAATTAATGAAAGTGTGTTTTGTGTTTTTTTTTTAAAGGTTTTCAACCTAAAACGTCTAAATGATGCAACATGGAAGCTAAATGAAGCTGCATGAAGCTAAAATAACTCTACATGATGTCAAATAAAAAGGAAAGAGTCAAGACTGAGTTGTCCTTTTGGAGTGAACAGGCCATTTTCAAGTTTAGGCAGGAGTCAATCAGTCAATCAACCAAACCCAATCAGAACTTGACAATTATATTATTAAAGTTAATTAACGACAATGATCCTTATGAGGTAAGAGAAGAATGATCCGATCACTGTTAGTGATATCTGGTGTTTAGAATTAGCGCCTGCACCTTTTGGGAATTTATAAACCTTAGATATTTGGAGGACCATGTCCAATTTACAACAGGTGGGTACAGGACCTACAGACCCAATGACCAATTGTATCTGTACTAAAGTAAGACGGCTAATGTTGTGCTAACCGGATGGTAAAAAAAAGTTAGTTTTTCATGTGTAATTTATCTACTGGTACATTACTGTATTCTTTGATATTCCATGTTGAAAAGCGTATCCCCTGTGTAGTGGTTTTTCCAACTGAGGTTCTGCAATTCATTTTGACATTTGAAGTTAAAAGTCATCAGTTGGCTGCAACCCAACGCATTCTGCGTCTTTTGCTGATGTTCACTACCTCCCCACCGTTAAGTTTCCATGTTGGAAAAAGAATGAAATGTAATCTCATGGTACTTTTTATTGTTTTGGATGTGGGATTGACTGTCACATCCAACAACACAACAGTGCTTACTGACCATGGCAAAAAGATTTAAGCTGAACTGGTTAATGCTTTTAACGGACGCTGAAATCCTCCAAAGATGGCCGACTCACTGTTGATAACATCCCATTCCCATGACACAAACTTCACCAACATTTTCTAAATTAATTTTACAGATTTTTTGAGGGTTGTTTGAAAAATATCACTCGCAACCGGCTTGAGCTTCAATCTCAGAATCCATGTATTTATGATCCTTGCAAGAATGTCATCACATACAGAGCATCAACTAGTTCCTGAACAGTGTCCTTCACATGCTGATATCCAAGAGAGGGAGTTACACAGTCACAAGATGGAGGAATAGAAAGCAGTATTCAATGTTTAGTTCAGATTAGCTCCACGTCAGAAATGATCATGCTTGTCATATGTCTATCTCCATAGAGGCTGAATCATCATGTTCATCACATAGCTATCATATGCCTAAAACAGTCCTGATGCTCTTCTAGGTAATCATACATCCTGTCATGTACACAGCTACAGTTGGGATACCTTTGTTATCATGTGGACTCTGATATTGAAGAGTACATTCACTATTTTCCCAACAAGGGTCTTACCGTTCACAGTCCCGGTGGCGTCGGTGGTGTAGTGAGCAAAAGCCTCCCAGCTGTGTCCGTCTTCACACTGGTGGAGGGCGTGGACGGTCAGCTGGAACCCAGGGAGGAGGTTCTGTACCAAGACGGTGAACTTCTCATCCACAAGCCCTCTGGACGGCTGGACCGACAGCTTCACACAAAGCGGCTTCATGCTCATTCTGAACTGAGCTGACAGACAAAATAACCAGAAAATGTTACTAAAAATGTCAGAAAGGATAGATGCCAATTTTGATTCCAATTATTCATTTGTATCTATCTATCTATCCATATATCTATCCATCCATCTATCTATCTATCTATCTATCCATCCATCCATCCATCTATCTATCCATCCATCCATATATCTTTCTATCTATCTATCCATCTATCTATCTATTCATCTATCTATCCATCCATCTATCTATCTATCTATCCATTCATCTATCTATCTATCCATCCATCTATCTATCTATCTATCTATCCATCCATCTATCTATCTATCCATCCATCTATCTATCTATTTATCCATCCATCTATCTATCTATCCATCTATCTATCTATCCATCCATCCATCCATCCATCTATCTATCCATCCATCCATATATCTTTCTATCTATCTATCCATCTATCTATCTATTCATCTATCTATCCATCCATCCATCTATCTATCTATCTATCTATCTATCTATCTATCCATTCATCTATCTATCTATCTATCCATCCATCTATCTATCTATCTATCCATCCATCCATCTATCTATCTATCCATCCATCCATATATCTTTCTATCTATCTATCCATCTATCTATCTATTCATCTATCTATCCATCCATCTATCTATCTATCTATCCATTCATCTATCTATCTATCCATCTATCTATCTATCTATCTATCCATCCATCTATCTATCTATCCATCCATCTATCTATCTATCTATCCATCCATCCATCTATCTATCTATCCATCCATCCATATATCTTTCTATCTATCTATCCATCTATCTATCTATTCATCTATCTATCCATCCATCTATCTATCTATCTATCTATCCATCCATCTATCTATCCATCTATCTATCTATCTATCCATCCATCTATCTATCTATCTATCTATCCATTCATCTATCTATCTATCCATCTATCTATCTATCTATCCATCCATCTATCTATCTATCCATCCATCTATCTATCTATCTATCCATCCATCCATCTATCTATCTATCCATCCATCCATATATCTTTCTATCTATCTATCCATCCATCTATCTATCTATCCATCCATCTATCTATCTATTTATCCATCCATCTATCTATCTATCCATCTATCTATCTATCCATCCATCTATCTATCCATCTATCTATCTATCCATCCATCTATCTATCTATCCATCTATCTATCTATCTATCTATCTATCTATCCATCCATCTATCTATCTATCTATCCATCCATCCATCTATCTTGTTTACTGTAAATTGGTATTTCAACATGTATATTTTCTACTTTTTAATGCGGTTTTATTTCTATTTTGAGATGTTTCTATTTTAGAACTGTTTATTTCTACTCTTTTAATTTGTCTTATGTGCAATGCCTTGTATTTCACATTTTTCTCATAAAAACACATTTTTAAATCAGAATTCAGACCTTCTACATTTTTTTCCAGAGTTGAACTTAAGGGTATGCTGGGGTACTTTCACATCCACACACACTCAACCAGTGTTTTTAAATATATGGAAAAAAATAGCAACACATGTATTACAAGCACTGATTTACAGACATTACAATCCCATGATAAAAATAATCCACTGAATGTGATGTAATCAGCAGGTGTATGTGATTCTAAATTGCAGAAAATATTTAGCCTCCTGTGTTTTATTCGTGCCTCTCATGTTTCTAATTAAAAAAAAGTCACTTTATTTCTGAGAGGGCCCTCATTTACGTTTTAAATCATGTGACATTAACTCCAGCTGTCAATTAAAAGTGACGCTATAGGGTATTTAAAAGTATACTAAGTACACTAACTGCTGTATACATTAGTAACCATGCCAGACCTTTGGCACACAAAATTAAACTGTAAAAGCATAAAACAACCCTAGAAATGGACACTTCAAATTAGCCAAAGCAAATTGTATGTTCAAGGTTCAAGGTTCAAGGTTTAAGGTTCAAGGTTCAAGGCTTGTCTTTGTCATACAAACATAGCTACAGTGTGTCAATGAAAATCTGAGGTCACAGGCTCCTCCAACAGAGCAACACAATAAAACTGAAAAACTGAAAAAATAGTGCAAGACGTAAATGCAAAAAAAATAGAACAATTGTGAAATAGTGAAAAAGAAGAGTCTATATACAAGTGATTGGAATATGATAAATTAGATCAATAATTTGTAAGCTGCAGCCAGATGAATGTTATGGATGTTCTTTCAAAAGTTCAGGTGTTTAACGATCTTACTAGATAACAAGGCTCTTTACAGAATCAGAGGACATTTAGACATGAAAACTTTTGAAGTATGACAACCCTTTATTTGTAGTTTTCTGTTAAGTATTTTAGAAAAACAGGTAGTAAACCATCATTGTTTTCCAGCTCAGGCATTACATTTACACTTTGTATTAGATGTTGTACTTGTTGCTCTGTAGAAATCAATTAAAAAAATTTCTATTACAGAACTTGAGTAAATGTACTTAGTTACATTTCACCACTGTAGAAGGGTAAGTGGCAAAATACATAGTGTGGTATAAAGTATATTTACTCAAGTGCTTAAGTACAATTTTGAGATACTTGTACTTTACTTGAGTATTTTTTGCTACTTTGTACTTTTACTCCACTACAATTTAGAGGTAAATGGTGTACTTTTACTTCACTATATTTAATATTTAATACCTTTAGTTACTTTACAGATATGGATGAATGATGTGAAATATAATCAAGTGTTAAATCAGACATTAGTTCCACCTGGAGTAAATTCACAAGCTACCCTGCAGTATACAAAGTCATTCAAACTAGCTGCACCTTTACCAGCTTTGAGAACACTTTAATATCAATCATTATAAAACATATCATATATAGTATTCTGAAATGGACCAATCTGCACAATCACTACTTTTACTGTCGCTACTTGAACTATATTTTGATGATAATACTTTTATACTTTTACTTGAGGAACATTTTGAATGCAGGACTTTTACTGTAACAGAGTATTCCTACACTCTGGTACTTCTACTTTTACTCAAGTACAAGAACTGAGTACTTCTGCTTTTACTCAAGTACAAGATCTGAGTACTTCTACTTTTACTCAAGTACAATATCTGAGTACTTCTCCCACTTCTACAAGTACTTATATTCGAGTAATGGATCTATGTACTTCACTCCACTGCACAGATGCACTCTCCGTTAGATAATCGATGGCACAGTAAATCGGACTTAAACAGACATTAAAGTCGCCTCTAGTGAAGGGACAAACAGCTGAAACACGATGATGATCTGGATCTGTTTACTCACCGTAAATGTAACTGTAAAGTCAACACGGTGTCGCTTCAGACCCGCAGCATGGCTCGATGATTGGCTGCAAACTGACCTTCGGAGCTGCTTCCAGGTGTCGTCTTGTCATTGTGTTTGATCTTTGGTACAGAACATAACGGTGAACTTTACTTTACAAAGACAGCCTGTTCTTAAGGTTTGATTTAGTTCATGAAGAGTCTAAGTTCAGTAGGACCGAGTGGAGCTTTAATCTCCTCCCACTACCACTACACCGAGAATGACACCAGGTGGCGCCATCGAGTCAACAAAGGGTTTTTTTAAATCTTTTTTAGAGCTTTATTGGAAAAAGGTATTTACAAACATGGCTTTCAGACTGTTCAACGAAAAAACAAAATCGATAAGGGGACAGATGCACAAATACGGAAGAGGATTAGTGCCACATATTGGGATGTGACCAAAAGTTTTTTTTTTAATCTCAGAATTATGAGAAAAATGTCAGAATTTTGAAAAATAATTTATTACATTTTTTTCTCATAAAAACACATTTTTAAATCAGAATTCAGACCTTTTTTTTTTCCTTCCAAATTTTTTGATTTAATCTCATAATTCTTTGTTTGAAGTCAGAACTCAAACTGCTATTTAACTTTTGGTAAAAAAATAATAATAATCTCATGTGGCCCTAATCCTCTTCCGTACACACAGAAGACAACATTAAAAACCAAAATTGAAGTGAGGTATACACACAACAAAGAGATATGTTTCATTAACCTGAAAATTAGCATTATCTATAATAAACAAACAGAACTAATAATAACCAAACAAAATATGAGTCTAATCGTCACTTCTCTTGCCCCCCGCTTTTACTCTAGCTTTCGTATTTGAATTATCTTTGTACATGGTTTAAAACTATTGTAATGAAAGTGATTCAACAACAGAGATAATCTGAGGACTACCAGTATGTCTGTGAAGTAACAAGCATTTTGTTAATTGCCGTCAATTTGATATCCAACACTTTATTGTTTGTTGACCTAAAATAGCTGATCAGGTACACAAATTGCGTCATCGTGATTGGTGGAGGATTGAGTTTCTTTCTCATATGGTTCAAATATTATTATGTAGTACAGTATCTTATGTATGTGCATCTTATTATAATATGTTACCTCATCCACAGCAAAGCTCTTCTTACTGGTGATTGATTGACACTAACAAGTGAAAAGAGGAAAATCAATTAGTAATACAAAGTGAATATATCTGAATAATTCATTGTAAACACCAGAAATCACTAAATATAAAATAATAAAACAGACCAGATGAAGTACGTATGAATGAATATACGATGCTGAGGGAAATGAAAGAGTCTCCAGACAGCCCCCTCGTGCCCTCTGACCTTTGACCTATGGAGAGAATGGAGAGGTGAGGGGGGGGGGGGGCCATCTCACCCAACTGAGCGCACAACAACAATGTGCCGTCGGCTGGTTGTCTGTCATCCATCTGTCCCTGGGGGCCCCTTGGCTTTTTAAGGGGCCAAAATAATGTAACATGCACCGAGGTTCCTCTGGTTCTTCTGGTTCCTATGATTCTACTGGTTCTTCTGGTTCCTCTGGTTCCTCTGGTTCCTTCCTTTGGTTCTTTCCTCTGGTTCCTTCCTCTGGTTCCTTCCTCTGGTTCCTCTGATTCCTTCCTCTGGTTCCTTCCTCTGGTTCCTCCCTCTGGTTCTTCTGGTTCAGGAGAGGACTCTTTAAAGTAGAGACACTACATACTGATATACACCTGAACATCAGCAGGAGAGGACTCTTTAAAGTAGAGACACAACATACTGATATACACCTGAACATCAGCAGGAGAGGACTCTATAAAGTAGAGACACTACATACTGATATACACCTGAACATCAGCAGGAGAGGACTCTTTAAAGTAGAAACACTACATACTGATATACACCTGAACATCAGCAGGAGAGGACTCTTTAAAGTAGAGACACTACATACTGATATACACCTGAACATCAGCAGGAGAGGACTCTTTAAAGTAGAGACACTACATACTGATATACACCTGAACATCAGTAGGAGAGGATTCTTTAAAGTAGAGACACTACATACTGATATACACCTGAACATCAGCAGGAGAGGACTCTTTAAAGTAGAGACACTACATACTGATATACACCTGAACATCAGCAGGAGAGGACTCTTTAAAGTAGAGACACTACATACTGATATACACCTGAACATCAGCAGGAGAGGACTCTTTAAAGTAGAGACACTACATACTGATATACACCTGAACATCAGCAGGAGAGGACTCTTTAAAGTAGAGACACTACATACTGATATACACCTGAACATCAGTAGGAGAGGATTCTTTAAAGTAGAGACACTACATACTGATATACACCTGAACATCAGCAGGAGAGGACTCTTTAAAGTAGAGACACTACATACTGATATACACCTGAACATCAGCAGGAGAGGACTCTTTAAAGTAGAGACACTACATACTGATATACACCTGAACATCAGCAGGAGAGGACTCTTTAAAGTAGAGACACTACATACTGATATACACCTGAACATCAGCAGGAGAGGACTCTTTAAAGTAGAGACACTACATACTGATATACACCTGAACATCAGCAGGAGAGGACTCTTTAAAGTAGAGACACTACATACTGATATACACCTGAACATCAGCAGGAGAGGACTCTTTAAAGTAGAGACACTACATACTGATATACACCTGAACATCAGCAGGAGAGGACTCTTTAAAGTAGAGACACTACATACTGATATACACCTGAACATCAGCAGGAGAGGACTCTTTAAAGTAGAGACACTACATACTGATATACACCTGAACATCAGCAGGAGATGAGTGTGCCCTCTTCTTCTACAATAGTTTATCAGTTTGTTAGGGAAATATCACTCGACACCAGGTTGAGAATCAATAATCAGGTACTCATTTATTCTTGCAAGAAGGAGCAGAGTTAAATCAAATACAAAGGATATGGGTTAACTCTCACACATGGGGTATGTTGCTCAACGGAGCAGCAAAAAACATCAGGCTTATATAGTCCAAAACACGGAGATAACAACAAAGTCGTAAATCGAGGTGGCACTAATATCATCCGCGGGTGTCGGAAAGGTGTCGGGGACATCTGCGACGTACGTCTTCTGGAAAGAGTCACGTACTTCCTTCACGCCTCATAGAAGTGAGATATTTAGGAGACAACAAGTATGTGTCTTCTCATAAATATCAACAACGTGAAATGCCCTGCCTCCTCCTATCACAAGAAGAGGCAGCTGCAAGGTCATACACAGTGCAGAGTCACACATAGTATCAGTGCATTAAAACAACCCATAAAGAGGAGACAACAGTATTTTCTCCAACACAGTTTTAGCGAGATTAGCTTTAAAGTCAACAACGAGAATTCACTGTTTTGATCTGTTGACACTTCTCAGCTTCTTGCTAACCTTTACGTATTCAACCCGACTGACCATACGCTCCATTTTGAAAAAGAGATAAATGTGTGTCTATAGATCACTCTGATTTATTGCTACGGCTTGTCTTTAAACGCAACGTGCTCTGATGATGAACGACCCTCCGCTCCCAGAAGCCACGAAGCTAATCATGCTAATAACAACTCAATGTGAGAAAAACATATTGTGTCGAGTTGAGAGGTCAAAGGTCGGCTGTCTTTGGGACTGGTGACAAATGTCTTCGGACACGCCTCCGCCCACCACACGCATAGAACTGGTTACAGGAACGGCAGGTCACGTGAATGTAAAGTCATTTTTATCACCCAGCAGATTCAGTCATTTGGCCTCTAAAAGCTGTAACTAGTTCTCCTTATACCTCCATGGTTTGCCCCAGTTACAGTCTTTGTGCTAAGCTAAGCTAACCGAAGAGTTATCTAAAAGTCAAACGTTAATTCAAAGATGGTTTTCTTGTCCTCTGACGGACCCGCCTCCAGCCCAGAAACACCTCGTCACGTGAATCACTCTGTTGATGGGATACCTGAAACATAAATTCACACACACACACACACACACACACACACACACACACACACACACACACACACACACACACACACACACACCACACACACACAGGCCATAAGACTGTTAAACACCTGAACTTTTGAAAGAACATCCATCTGTTTGCAACTTATATCAATATTCCAATTACTTGTAGACTATTCTGCACTATTTCTACTATATTTTATTTTATTTACCTGCACTATTTTATCTGTTTTATTGCGTTGCACTGTTGGAGGAGCCTGTGACCTAAGATTTGCATTGTCATAACTACCCTGTAGCTATGCACACATGACCATAAAAGCCTTGAATCTTGAACACACACATAACCACACACACTCTTAATCACTACGGCTGGTTAAGGAAGTCAGACGGAAACGCTCGGCTGCTTTAAAATGTATTCATACATTTAGTATTCATGGGAGTATCTTTGTCTGACGGGGGGTGGGTGTGTCGGAGGTTACGGGGGAGGGGGCGTCTCATTCGAAACAAAGAGACACAAAAGAGAGGACACCTGTTTCCATCAGGACTGAGGTCGCCTGTGTGTTTTGGCTGAAGTCATTTGAGGACATTCTTAAGGAATTGTGAAAAACCAAACTTTAAAAATAACATTTTTAAGGATTCTTTATTTAATTTAGCCTGTTTTGAAACCAGTGTGCTGTACTATCCATCATTTATCAGGTGATAGATGGATTTCAACAGAGAGCATTTCACACAATACTGAGAAATAAAGGTGGACAAAAGCTTTGAAACAAAACAACATTTTTTAATAGCACTTTAACGACACAGGGGAACAGAAAAACACAGCAAACCAAAACAAAAAAAGTAATTAAGACATGAAATTAAAAACATTTTTTGAAGGATAATACTTTTTGACACTTTCTACCCCAGAGAAATGATGTCTCTGCTTTCAACAATAGTCTTTAATTCCACTTTAATGGAGAAGAAGTACAACACAATTCCTTCAACAAACTAAAATCAATCAATGTTTATTTATATAGCCCAATATCACACATGTTACATTTGTCTCAGTGCACTTCACAGTTTGTACAGAATATCAGTATGACAATACGACACCCTCTGTCCTTAGACCCTCACATCGTACAAGGAAAAACTTCCAGAGAAAAACCCCACAGTTTAAAGGGAACATGGGAGAAACCTCAGGGAGAGCAACAGAGGAGGGATCCCTCTCCCAGGACGGACAGACGTGCAATAGATGCCGTGTAAATCTAAGAGATAATACATTTACAACATAGGTAGACCAAATGTTTGGAAATGCATGTGTCTATAATAAGAAGATGAATCCACGAGGATGTCAACAATCCTGTGGGAGCCATCAGGGAAGCAGTATGATGATATATGATAAAAACAGGTCTGTATCTCCGAGTGTATCGACATCTCTTGTTTCTTGTATGTATTTATTTACTCTAAAGACTCTCAAACAGAACAAGCTTCCTTTAGTCGGAGATGCTGGATTTGTTAAAAGAACCATTTGATAGATTTCCTTTGCGTAAAGGGAACAAAACTGAGTACCTGAAGTGAATGTACTCGTTAAAAACGCATTATGATGGGATTTTAAGTGGTTGATACATGAATACATGAATCTACAGTGTGATTAATGGGTTTTACATTAGGGGTTTTGAGAGGTAAAAAAACACCCCTAACTCTCTTAAAGGTGGGGTAGGTACGTTTGAGAAACCGTCTCGAGATCGCTAGAATTTGAAAATACACAGCCGGAAAAAATCTGCCACTTCCTTATAGAGCCCCTCCTCCAACACACACGAACGCGCACATGACCAATGAGGGCACGAGATAAGTTTGTGCACAGATGGAAGGCTGACAGGCAGGTAGGTCATCCAGTTATCCGGCTCAGATGATTGGTCGTGCTTTTTACAGTATTACGGCTTCCACAGATGACATTTTTTTATGGATTTTTTGGCAAAGCACTTAAGATATTCATTGCTATCGGGATGTTAAGAGCATTCCATGGAATATAACAAAAAGGGTATCTCGAGCCGGTTTCTTAAACTTACCTACCCCACCTTTAAATCATCAAATAGTGTGTTAAGGATCTTTCAATGTACCTTAAAATTGCCTTAATTCCTATCAATCAAGGTGAACTTTCGGTACATTTTAAGGTTATTGTGTACCCCTTACATCCCCTCTAATCCAATAGATAATCTGCCAAAATAAAACCGGAGTGTGAGACAAAGCAAGGAAACAAAAAGTCACTTATAAATATAAATTATTTGATTATTAATTGCTAGAGATCTTTTTTGATTAAGCGTTTGAACTCCTTCTATATCTTTAAAATCTACCTAACATTGTTAATAATTTGATTTTGTATCTTAAACATCAATGTGTTAATTAAGGGAAAGTCATTATTTATGAGTGTAATTAAGATGATTGAGTGTTTCTCTTTCAAATTGAATGTTTAATTTAGGGGATAATTGGTATTATCACGGATAAATTATGTAAAGATTAAAGTCTTAATGCATTATTTTTACACAGTGACGGCAGCTCAGCAGATTAGGGCTCGCCCCGGGTGTGTAGTGTGTAGTGTGTGTGTGTGTGTGTGTGTGTGTGTGTGTGTGTGTGTGTGTGTGTGTGTGTGTGTGTGTGTGTGTGTGTGTGTGTGTGTGTGTGTGTGTGTGTGTGTGTGTGTGTGTGTGGGGCTGGTAAAGAACACACTGTATGTAAACACAGAGATCATAAAGCACATGTCTCATCACTGACCTGCTTCAACACAGACATGCTGTAAACATGTTATCTGTGGGAAGAAGAGCAAAACATCTCCCTCACACTTCTGAGTGAGGAGGGAGTGGAACATTTGATCCGTGTAAACCTCGCTAACAACATCTCATCATAAACATTATCCAGGCATTTGGTAATGAATTTTTCTTTACACATTTTTCCCGTCAACCTCCTATTTTTTATTATGATTCGGAGGAATTTAACAGCCCCCTTAAAGGGGCCTAATGGCGCGTTTCCACTACAGCGCGCAGCCCGGTTTAAGAGGGCTGTGACGTCAGCGGCCCGTCTTTGGTTGCGTTTCCACTTGGCCTAGTACCGGCCGGCGGGTCCTAATTCACAGTTTTTCTGGCCTCATAAAATCGTGGGTCCAGGGCCAGAGACAACGAGGCTGAGTCGGGCTGAGTATGCTAAACTAGAGAGAGCGTCGCTGGCAAGGGGGCTACAACTACAACAAGATGGACATATTTGACCGTGATTTAATTGTAATACACGTTTCAAAATGATGCCGAAGTAACAACATACTGATACCGGTTAGTAAAAACCATGAATTAATGCTTTGTCAAGTCTGCAGACAGACGGCAGGCGAAAAACCTTTTAAAATGCTTGTTTTCTAAATGGAGATTGGCTAAGCTAACGCAGTATATGCTCCGACCGTCCACACTCACAACAACGGCCTATACAGACATAAATAAAGCAGCGACTGTATTCACCATGACACAGGCAGTCTGTGGTTTGTACTTGTTTAACTTTTGTCTAGTTTCTGAACATATATGAGGAGCTTTGAGCTCTGAGTGCTAACAGCTAACGGCTGTGTTGTTTTTCTGGGGTCCTCTGAAGATCACGTCATGGCTCCGCCTACACTGCGTTACTATAGATACTGCCCCAGTTCCTAAACTGTAATGGAAATGCGCCATAAAGTGAGCCAGTCCTAACGAGGCCCAGCCATACCGAGCGGGGCCGAGCGAGGCCGTGTAGTGGAAACGCGCCATTATTATGCTCATTTTCAGGTTCATATCAGTATGTAGTGTCTCTACTGTGAAATGTTTCCATGTTTTAATGTTCTAAAAGGTCTGTCTTCCTCTCATACTGCTTGTACTGCAGGGATTTTAGCCAATGCAGACCACATGCACTAAAACCTATATAACACGCATTTTAAGGCCCATTTGGGGAAAAGATACAGGAGATAACATTGGTAACATTTCCAATAGTAATACTAGTGCTGGAATATAACTTTGTAAATGTACTAAAGTTCTGTATTTAAGTATAATACTAACCCTAACCCATTCATTGAACAGTGTATAATAATACAAATAATGATGATATTCATAATAATAGCCAAAAGATGAGATAACATACTATATTTATTATTGAGTATTGAGATACAATGGAATAAAATACAACACAAAAACAATATATGAAAAATCAAAAGAATAATAAAAAAACATAAATAAAATAGATAAGTTCTGACAAAAGCAGATGACGTACATTGAAGCACACGATGTGTTCAGACTGTGATAACCTGATTAATGTATAATAGCCAAAATATGAGATAATATACTTTATTTATAAATATATTTGAAAAGGGGCTTTAGTTGAACCAGGATTAAAATATATAACACAATAAATATATATGAAAAAAAGAATAATAAAAACAAATAAAGAAAATATTATTCATTGTAAAGGAAAAAGCAGATAAGGTCTGATAGCATATTGAAGCATCCCCTCACACGATGTGTTCAGACTGTGATAACCTGATTAATGTCCGCAGAGAGCAGCTCATCCCTCCCTGAGTCAGAGCTCTGCTTCCTGGCCTCGGTCCAGACTAAAGCTTGGAGGTTGTGGAGGGCTTCGTGTCCCGGTCTGACCCCGGCCTCGCTCTTTCCTCCAGGACAGATTTCCCCCCGCTGCTTGGCTCTGGCGGTGCCTGGCTCTGCCTGCCGTGGACCTCCATCAACAGGAAACAGAGGCAGGAAAAGGAGCTCTGTGTGTGAGCACAAACACTGCTGCTCACATGGAGCCAGCAACAGACACTATGACTGTGTGAGGGTAATTAGATTCACATTTATAAAACACAGAGCATAAAGTCATACAGTGTAAAGTCTCTTAAGAATCACTCTTAATGACGCATTTATATCCTATGATTCAGAGATTTTTTTAAGACATTTGAAATAATAAAAAATACCCCTTTTATCTAAATACAATACGATACGATAATACGGACATTTGACTTGCATCACAGCAGCTCCATGTGTAACATCAACAGACACATATCAAGGCACAATACATGAAAAAAAATCAGTGAGAGAAAACATGCTCAAAGAGCCTTCAGCGTGCATTTGATCTGGCTCTGTATTTACTGAGAGGATTGACTGGAGCACAAAGGATGCTTCAGTCTGACCTTATTGAATCGTGGGACCCTGTATCTCTGATTAGATGGTAGCAGTTCATATTCGCTGTTCAGAACATGGTTTGGGTCCGAGATGATCTTGTTGGACAGCCTCATTAAGTTGTTATGAAAGGCTGAGTCTCTGACAGGGTTGACCAACAATCTTTGAGCAGATTTGATCTGCAGTATTGAGTCATAAAACCCAGAAATAAATCAGCAATTTAGCACTTGAGGTTCCCTCGACTTGAAGTCAATGGTTTTTTGAACGTGTTTGTTGTTAAAGCCTACGCCTTTTTCGGAGAACCCAACAAACATACAGATCTCAGAAAATAACTTTTGGAGTACAAGGTTATTATTGCTAAGAGGAATGATGGATAAAGACTCAAAGAATTGGTAAATGATTTAGTAAAACTACAGGTCGACCTAGCCCTACACGTAGCAAAATCGCCCTCTAAATGAAGTCGTTTTCATGTGCTGGAAAAAAAAGCACTTAGCCTTTAATCTGATTCACCAGCACTTACTATGGTATGATCTTGCTTGATGTGAATATATCTGCACTTTCCTTGTTGTTCGGAGTTTGATTCTTTATGGTTTTTGCACTTACTGTAAGTCACTTTGGATAAAAGCGTCAGCTATTATATGTCATGTGTAAGCCATTATTAACTTTCTTCCATAGTGTTTACCAAAACTTGGGCATACACCCTTAATGAGGCTTTTTTGACGTCATAACTTTTGCTCTCATGATGCGAACATTGTACCGTTGCTACAATAAAGACAAGCATTGGCTCCAAAACCCATGATGTAACACCACAAACACGTACGTGTGAAAAATACATGTCTGAGTGTACAAACACATTGACAGTCCAGAAAATCCCAGAGTAAAATGAAACCATTACTGCAGCATTCGAGCGTCTGGCAGCCGGAGCAGAAACGTCCACACAGATCCACTCCTGGGGAAACCCTTCATCTGCCGTGTGGGCTTCCATGTTTTACCATTGATGGCGAACTCTTGTGTCATACTCCTGTTGAGCGTGAGCGCAGAGTCACTTCTCACCAGCGCCGTGAACAGAGAGCCTTTGCTGTTGACGAAATGTCCCGGTAGAGACGACCACTGTCCCGAGGTGAGATTATAACAGTCCATGAGGCATCTGAGGAAGTCGGCCGACGGCCCGTTTCTCACCACGTACAAGTTGTCCCTGTGGCCCACCATGCTGTGTCCGTAGCTCTGCTGCCGGATCAGCGTGGTAACAAGCCGCCATTCGTCTTTCCTTGACATGTACTCGTAGATCTCTGTGGTCTCCATCGGCCTCCATAAACACACAAATATCCGGCTCATGGCTTTGGTGCATGCTGCTCCTGCAGCCGGACGAGGTAAATGAGCGGCAAACTCCCATTTTCCGGACTTAACGTCAAATATTTCCACAGAAGACATCACAGTTCGCTCGTACTCTCCACCGATTGCGTAAAGACGACCATCGAGACCAACGAGGCTGAGGTTGTATCGCAGTTGTGCCGGACTGGATATCCGGCTCCAAGTGTTGTTCTCGACGCTGTAGCAAAAACAGGAATCCACAACTTCTTTGTTGCGTCCATGAACTCCTCCGACGATGTACAGCATGTTGTCTAAAACGGTCACCCCAGCCATGGAGGTGCTGGCATCTAGTGGAAGATCTGTCAATACTTTCCAGTTGTTGGCAGTTTCATCCAAGTAGCAGACGGTCCTGGAATCGGTGTGTACAGTTTCATCTACACCACAAGATACATGAGCCCCAACAGCCACTAAAACACTCGGAGTCAAAGACTCCACGTAGGAGATCAGTTCTGACGGCAAGGATCTCTTCACCTCCGCCTCCAGGTCGACGTACATGTTTCTGATGAACAGCGCGGCAGCAGAGTAAAGGTCCTTGAGGCCGAAGGTGGCAGCGGTGTGAAACATCAGCAAACAGTTGTCAGAGTCGATGAGGTTGATGAGATGCTTGGTGAGAGGCGCCACCTGCAAGAACGAAGCGCATTCGATGGCTTCGACGATCTCGTCCCCGTCCAGATCGATCATATCCCCTCGTAACACCGCCAGAGCGATGAGGAAACCTCGAGGGTGAAGAGACTTCAGGTGGATTTCCTCCTGTCGACACTCCTTCATCCCAGAGCGATACAAAGCTCGGAAATAGTCGCAACTCTGAACAAGAAACATTTTCTCCTCAGAGAAGTGAGTGCCTCCGATCACAACGGTTAATTTGGCTGAGGAACAACGTGGCAGATTTATTTCGTCACAGCTGCTGCCGTCCTCAGACTCACTTCCCTGCGCTGACATTGCAATTCTCTGAAAGTGACCCTGAAGACAATATGCTCCACGAAAGTGAAACCAGAGTTTGAAGCGTTTCCAGAAGTTGAAGAGCGAGAGTAAAGAGACACAGAGCGAAGCAGCTTCCCTCTCAGTTCATTCACAGCTCTCCAAAATAGATTCAGATAAAAATAGAAAAGAACAAATGACCTGAGTCACATTCATGTTGTGAGCAACACGTGAACAAAAGGTCAGTGATACCTACTGCAAACTTAAAGGTCACTTTGACCTAAACAGGGTTCTGAAAGAGTTTACTAAAATACAAAAAGGTGTAAAGAACTTTAGATTATAAGCAACACAATCTGATCAAATCAACGCTCTTTTAAAGGTGCTCTATGCTAAATTCCAACCCAGTCTCACGGCATTTCGTGTTATAGTCACAAAATTAATTGAATCGATTGATTCGTGTTCACCAACACGATTTTAGCATTTTTTTCGTGTCACACAGAACGATTTTAAAAGCAATGTATTTCTATTGGTAGTATGTTTCGTGTCTGCACCACGTCTTTTTGTCCGGTCGGGTCTTGGAAGACCAGAAGCTGTGTGGTTCATAAAAACATGTTCTTACTCAATATCTTACCCTAAGCCTAACCCTATCGCTTTTATTTTAAATTGTATAATGTCAGAGTTTTTTTGCCGTCCGCGAGGAAAATAAATGGCTCAGAGCCTCAGAATACTGAAATCTGTATTTTATGTCATCTTTTTATCCTTCTAATTTGTTATTATTTGGTGCAGGCACGAAACATACTACCAATAGAAATACATTGCTTCTAAAATCGTTCTGTGTCAGAATACTGAAATCTGAATTTTTTTTTATCTGTTTTTCCTTCTAATTTGTTATTATTTACATTGCTTTTAAAATCGTTCTGTGTGACACGAAAAAAATGGCGAAATCGTGTTGGTGAACACGAATCAATAGATTAATTTCGTGATTATAACACTAAATGCCGTGAGACTGTGTTGTAAATTCAGAGCATATCTTTTATTGGATGATTGCCTCCACATGGCTCTCATAATTTAATGGAATACTATATAGAAATAAAGAAGGATGTATCAAGTAACAAGTATTCATACCATATAACTCAAGCCTGAAGGACACTGAGGTCACAGTTTTCACTATCTTAATTGCAAATTTGGGCATTTTGCAACAAACTATTCGAAATTAGACTTTATTTTGACAATTTCTGTCATGTTAATGCATGTCGGAAATTAAAACTGCTGACAGTTCGATGAAAAATGGTTGTAAAATAAATATAATGGTACATCTCAAGCCAGTTAGCTTAGCTTAGCATGAAGACTGTAAACAAGGGGCGAAGAGCTCTCCGTCCTTTAATAGATAGATAGATAGATAGATAGATCGTACTTTATTGATCCCAAATTGGGAAATTGTTTTTGTTACAGCAGCATAAAAGGCATTTTACAATAAAACAAAACTACAAAATATACAAGAATAGAAAGAAAATAAAATAAAATATAAAATATAAAATATACATGTCGAAATAGAAAATATACATGCAGATATTATATGTATATATACAAATATATATATATATTCAAAATATATGGAATATGGAGTATTAAATATGAAACAGATATATATATATATATATAATATTATAGTATTAGTGTAGTATAGTAATAGTATTAACGCCATTGTTACATATTCCACATATAAACACCACATTAACACAACTTAAATAAGTGTGTGAAGATGGAAAGAAAAAACGACAATAAACACGAGACTTTTAGCCCAAACTTCTGAAAGGCTAATAAGTAAACAGTGAGAGATATTTAACTTCTGAGCTCAGATCAGTTTGAAGAACAACAGCAGCTCTTTGTTTGTCTTTACATCTGTTTCCTGCTGATCTGTCTCTTTAACATTCACTTACAGTGAGGGGGGAGGGGCTGACCTACATTTAAGCTCTAGCTGGGGGCGCAGAAATTCAGAAGGTCATGTGACACCTCAGTCAAAACCGTCTCCAGCTGTTTGTAAGCAGACAGAGGGGATTGTGGGAAATGTTGTACTGCTGCTTGGGTTACACGAAAACACAGGAAGCGGAGGAAACAATGCCAGGGGACGAAGTTTACACACACAAATGAGGTGTAAGAAAACAAAAAACATAAAATAACTATATATTATAATATGCGGCTAAAAATAAGTAATGTAAAGATTTTTTGGGGTAAAACTTTCTGTGGTGGCTATCTATTTATGACATATATACATAGGGTATTAATAATGTGTTTAATCTGTTTATAGCACTGTATATGTATGGTTTTAAGGATGCAAACTAATTAAATATACTCAATGAAAATACTATTAGCACATTTTAAAGCATTTTAGAATGACTTACAAGGTTGAGTGTTGGACTACTCGCTTACATTAATCAAGGTATTATTAATCCTATAGTTGTGATAGATTATTATATTTTTTATAATGCAACATATTTACTTTTATAATGTATTGAAATGGGTTTAAAAGTCACTGTAAGAGGTTATTGTTTGCTTGAAGTTGAACTGGAAATTTAAGTGGAACTAGAAACTATTTTGAATACTTATTGTTTTAAAATGCACTATACTGTCTTTTGATTATTGTATTAAAGTAGTAGGAATGGTTATGTGTGCTTATAAGTGCTATACACAGAGTATAACGCATTATAAGTATGTTTGTAAAGCATTATAGAGAAAGGCATCATTTATTTCAATTATCTTTGTTCATCACATGACAGTTTAAACATTACACTGCCTCCAAAACAATATGTAAATTGCAGGTTACAATATATATATAAATGATCAATGGACAGCATTTTAAATATGAGTTTGTACCTCATTGGATGATTTAAATACATACAAATGATTATTAAGGGTTTTATGAAAAAGCATAGAAACGGTATATTGCTGTTGTGGATATATGAACCATATTTGGTGGAAAAGACACATCATTATAATAGGGAGTAATCAGGAGTGGCAGTTACCTCGTCTCATGCATAGACTGTATGCATCTCATGCCTGTTATTTTGGGTGATGTTGAAATGCATTCTGGGAAATGTAGGAAATCCCTGCTGCAGACGAGTCACGCTGAGGGCACTGGGTTCATCTGAAAGTAAACAATGAGATTTTGTAATACATGTGTTAATAAATGCACTTTTATAATATATAACAGAATAAATACATAGATTGTTTCACTTATATTACTATGTATACCTTTATAATTGTAGTCTTTTAATGTTATTTTTAGATAGGTTTTTTTGTCATGTGATTGTTTTGAAACCGCTCTCTGATGCACCGCAGCACTCCCGGAGTGACGACCTCTGTATCCTTGCGCCAGTCCTACTACGTACAACTAGTCCGTGTATTTAATCATTGCTTTCGTGCTCGCTTTTCACCACACCGACTTCAAATTCACCATGAACCCAAACTAGTCGATACACCTGTTTATCCATGTGTTAGTTTGGGATATGAAGCGATGGTGAATTAAAGTTCAGCTGAGGTCAGGCGGAAGGATCCGTCTGATCTTTTTGTAAACATTGGCAGCAGCAGCGAGGCAGAGTGGCGCGCTTCTCTGGATGCTTGGATTTACCGACTTTTTGCACCACAACATTGATGGTTTCTCACCGTATAAACGTCTCATTTTCCCCGTAAGACGAACCAAGGACTCTGCTGTTATCTGGGATTAAATACGTGAACATTTTCCAGGCATATTTTTTGATTTTGGGGCAGCATGCTGCTCTCTAAACTGGGCTCCTTCTCTCACATCGCGGCCAGCATGGACATGCCGGCGAAGCTGCAGCAAGGTAACGTGTTTGTAACCCGTGTTACATAGAAAGGTACTTTATTGATCCCACATTTTGACATTATTTTGCTACAGCAGCAATCTTAAAATCTTTAAGGTGGAAAAAAGTATAAAATAATTTAAAATCAAAACAATAAACATTAGCAAGTCTATATTCATATCAGTAGAAATGACATTTAACACAAAGAATAATCAATATAACATGTTTTAGATTGAAAAAAACCCAATATATTACAGTTGCAGTAAAACATACATTATGATAGTATGTCGTATGCGGCGTGTCGTACTTAAACCCAACCTATAAAATGGACACGTGGGTTCTATGGGAGTAGATTTGTCTCAATAACATTTGTGTGAACATGAAATAAATGAACGTGTAAATTGTAAACGCTAAGCACCTTCCACAAATGCAGTGTTGCAAATTCACCACAAAAAAAAGTGCAAATGTAAAATGGATATGAAAAATAATTCCAAAAATAAAAAGATCTGTGAATACTATTATGAATTTACAGTCAAAGTCAACTTTATTATTATTATTAGTATTATCTATGTATGTCTGGTACACACAGGGAGACCGAAATGCTGTTTCCCAAATATTAAAATATAGAAATACATATATTGTGTATAAACATAAATACACTATATTAAATGAAATAGGAACAACAGAAAATGTATAAAAATAGCAGTGTGGTAGTCAAAAACAGATGGATATATGACAACAGTACAAATACAAGTAGTGGAATAACTGTCCTTGGCATCATCTAGTAGTAGTATCTCGTGCTGCAGGTGCCAACATGTGTAGTTGCCTTTAAAAACAGTCTATGATAGTTACCACCTCATGATGATGCCGACAGTCCACCATTTTTAAACAGCTGACACAGAACAACAACAAGGGTCACCTGAGGACGTCTGTTGGTTTTCAGTGATTTATTTGTGTATTTCAATAACAAATGAATGCTATATATTTTTTTTTAAATCACATATTATGAGCTTAAATTGAAATGATAGCACACCAGGGACAAACTCTGTCCTTGTGATGTTGTATTGCTCAATGGGGGTGGGTGGGGTTACAGATTTTGGCGCAACTCAACCTAAAACGTCCTAATCCTATGAATTATTGCTGATTTTTTTAAATTTGTTTCTGTGTTTTTACAGCTAAAGTGGAGAAGCAGCCGTTTGAGAAGGTGTACCGGCTGGGCTCGGTGCTCGGTAGCGGGGGATTCGGCACGGTTTACTCTGCTGTCCGCCTGGCCGACGGGCTGCCGGTAAGAGCCGCTTTATTTTGGTCCCGGCAGCACGTGGGAAAGTTACACACTGCGGGAAAAAGCGTTTCCGGTGGTTGCCTTCCTTCAAAACAAAAGCGGCGCTAAACTCTTCAAATGTACAGCATTTCAGATTGAGTTTCATATTTTATCAGGATTTGTTTTTACATCTTTTCCATCATAAACACATAGCTTTGGAAGTAAATACATGTTTACAAGTCAAACCCACACTAACCTATTATATTTGATTTTATTATATCTACATCATTAAAGAAATATGTCTTCTACAGACCATTCAAACACGTTTATCATAATGAATTACACGTTTCTTTTGTCTCAAATAGCATAGTATTAAATATATTTTGGTGAAAGTCTTTGAAATAACAAAAATGTCCACATTTAATAGCTTTTTTTTCCTACTGAGCTGATAGACGATCAGATTTCCGGGCGGATTTCTGTGGTATTTTTTGGGCCCTGATCCGAACACCAACGCAATAGTCCACTGCGCCACAGCCTCCCTAGCTTACAAAATAAATGACACATGTTTATTCAAATTAAACGATATACAATTCTTATTGCCTAACTCAACCTTCATGTATTCTTTGTGCTTTTATTTTGAAGGCAGATTCTATTCTTTTCCTGTTTCACTCTTCTCAGCTGTGCAGCTTGACAGCAGCCCTGCTTTGCATGTGGTCTTTGTTTACACAAAGAAACATGGTCATAACGCTTTACTTTCATGTTTAAATTGAAACCTAACCTTACTACGTCACCTTATTTTCTTCAGTAACAGGATATGGTTCAATTTGTCATTAATCTTTTGCTAAATTAACCCAAAACAAAGAAATACTTAAAAGAAAAACAAAGAGCTTCATGTTACTGTTAAGTTACATATATTAAAATATATATTTAAAATGTTGGCTGCTGTTTTATTATATTTTTCTATATCGAGACATCATTTATGTTACCGTTTCATGTCCTATATAATATGTGATTATGTGAAGGCTGTGTGCTAATCATGTTTCCTTTTGTTTAATGCAGGTGGCGGTGAAGCATGTCTGCAGGGACAGAGTGACCGAGTGGGGCTCTCTGGTGAGATTTACCTTCAGATTAACACCTCCTTCCTTTCAGATTGATTACTACATTTACTGTAAAATGATGTGCAATAGCCCTGCCTATAAATATAAAGCATGTACAATATACCCGTGCAATTCACGCCTAATTTCTTTCCATTTATTTACAATCTGCAATCCGAACCGGCTGCCTCTTTAATTTTATCTGGTCCTTCTTTAAAAAAAGATAGTATATAATATGTATATATTTTTATCATGGTCTACTTATCTGCTATTTGTTTTTGGTACTTATTGTGTTTTATAATTATTTTTTAATATGTAAGGCTATTCTCTTTATCTGCATTATACTTCTGCTGTTGTAATAATGTAAATATCCAAATAATGGAATTCTGATTTTGATTATATGCTGTATTCTTTGAGATCAAGACCCTTTTTCATGGCCAGTGAGTTGACGGTATGTTTCCCTCTCAGAGCGGCACAGTGGTTCCTCTGGAGATCGTGCTGCTGAAGAAGGTTGGCGGAGCGTTTGGAGGCGTAGTGCGGCTTCTCGATTGGTGGGAGCGTGCCGACGGATGGCTGATGGTGATGGAGAGTCCAGAATCGGGGCAAGACCTGTTCGATTATATAACCGAGCAGGGCGCATTAGAGGAGGCGGCGGCACGAGGATTCTTCCTGCAGGTGCTAGAGGCCGTGAGGCACTGCTACACCTGTGGAGTCGTCCATCGAGACATCAAGGACGAAAACCTGCTGGTGGACCTGAGGACCGGACAGATCAAACTCATCGACTTCGGATCAGGAGCCCTGCTCAAAGACAGCGCCTACACCGAGTTCGATGGTGAGTCTGATCATGTGATAGGATCTAATGGCTAAGTTAAGATGGAACTTTATTAATCCCTGTGGGGAAATTCAGTAGTTTAACCGCAACAGGGTAAGAATGAAAAACAGGACAGCACAGATTCATACAGATTGGGGGGTGGGTGCTAGTGGAGCACGCTCATCAACGGGCTTGCTAGTGGAGCAAGCTTGTGAACAGTTCGCTGGAGCCTCGCAGCGGAGTTACTGCGGAGCGCATAAAGCAGACCCTTCACGCGATAGCAGAGCGAACAGGTACAGGAGGGGTAGTTAATCGATCGCAGATGGCGTCGTGCTTGCGGACGGATAAAAAAAGATTAAACCTAAATGGGTCGCGCTATATACTTTGGCGGACGTTAATATACCTGGGCGGCCCGCCCAAGTAAAGTCTATGTGTGGGAAACCCTGTGTTAGTCTTACATTATTCAATACATAACATACCTTCTGCCCTCTTCTCCTCCAGGTACGCGGGTGTACAGTCCTCCCGAGTGGATCCGTTTCCAGCGATACCACGGCCGCTCGGCCACTGTCTGGTCGCTGGGCGTGCTGCTGTACGACATGGTGTGCGGAGACATCCCCTTCGAACAGGACGAGGAGATCCTGAGAGGACGGGTCTACTTCAGACGCAACATCTCCTCAGGTCAGTCTGAGTGTGACGTGATCAGATCTCAGGTTTCAGACTGAGGTCCAGGGAGGAAGCTCTGCAAGAAAATAAAGAGGTTTATACTGAACCACAGATGTACGGTACGATAGGATAACGATACGATAATACTTTAATGGTCAGATCAAGTCTGAAATTTGACTTGCATCACAGCAGCTCCATGTGTAACATCAACATAAACAAATATTAAGAAACAATACATGGAAAAACAAACAACAAACATTTAACATAACATCACAATCACTGAGAGAAACATGCTCAAAGACACTTTTGTTGTTGTTCAAAGAGGAAGCTCTGCAAGAAATAAAGAGTTTTATACTGAACCACAGATTATTTCAATGTAAATACTGCTATATTTTATTTTACTATATTTTCTCCTATTTTTTAATGTTATTATAGTTTTCTTAAAGTAGTTCTCTATCTGTGTTTTTTTTAAATTTTTGTTTCACTTTTATGTATGCACCACAAGTCAAATTCCTCGTACGTGTCAACCTACCTGGTAATAAACCAGAGGCCTGTACTACGAATCCAGTTCAACATACCCTGGATATGTTTGAGTTACCCGGCTTACCTAATCCAAAACAAACGCGCTCTCACTAAGCGGTCCTACGACGCTGGTTATCAACTCGGTAACTCAAGCCAGGGTTTCTCCGTCCGGCTGAGTGCACGTTCACATGAAAGGGGCGGGGCTAGCAACATTTGACCAATCACAAACATGGTCGACAAGCGTACTGACAGCGCAGCGTCATACTTCCTGAATGAAAAGTGAACTTTAATATTAGTCAAATATGAAGAAGTTAAACTTTAAACATCCATGACTTAAACACTTTATCCAGGATAAAAGCCACATAGCTGCACCTGCAAGGTGAATACAGCTGGTAAAAGAAAAAGTGTTTGAATGCGTACATTAACAGGTTTATGATATCACCGCCCCGTCCAAGACACGATCTGACTTTAATTACATTTGACTCGAGTGTTTCGTCAAATTAATGTGTTGCTTAAAATAATACTTCTGCATACAGTATGTGACACTGTGAGTGTTGCACGGCCAGATACGGCTCAAGAAGCTGACTCAGATAAGGAAATATATGATACATTATGATGTGATATGATATGAATGATAATGGGACACATCGACGTCTGCACTCACAGTGCCGCGGACTGTACTTAATGTTACTCTGATCCGGTTACTTATGTTGTGGCAGATATTTAAGTAAGCTTTCTTAACGCTAATGTTATAATAGTCAGATTGCTCTGAAGATGGGAGGGGATATTCTATTAATTTTCACATTCACACAGTCAGTTGATTTTTGCCGGCCGTCTTTCCTGCAGGCAGTTTTTCTGTATTTCAGCATAAGTTACCATGGAGATCTAGCCCAGTAAGAAGAGAACCAGCGTCGAAGGACCGGAAAGCCAGAGTTTTCCCTGAAGTTAGCTCACTAAGCGAAAATCCGGCTTCGTAGTACAGGCCTCTGATTCTGATTTGTTGTTGTTTACAGAATGCAAGCAGCTGATTGGTTGGTGTCTGAGCCAGCAGCCGTCGGACCGACCAACCCTGGAGCAGATCTTCCTCCACCAATGGGTGACGGGCAGCGAGGTGCAGCACACAGACAGCATCACGCTACACACCATCACAGCAGACTCCTCCCCCTCGTCATCCTCCTTCCAGGAGAGCCTCTGATTGGTCGACACAGGCTGTGGGGCGGGGCATAGACATTTAATGCCTTGCAGGTAGCTGTGTCCTCGTGTGTTGAGCGGCCGGCTACCAGGAAGGGTTTTTCTGCTGAGGGCGGCGTGTCGTGGTTGTGGTTTTCCCCACAGCGCCCCCTCCTGTTCAAAGACAATAGAGCAGCTCTTATAGAGTCTCAACGCCTGTCGGGTGTTTCTGTTTCAGAGTGCCTTACGTTATAATGTGTGGAGCTCTGCAGACGTTCTTTTAGTTTGATAAATATAGGTAGAGTGTAAAATAGCTCAAGGTAAAAGAAGAACCCATCGAGGTTCTTTACAAAACTTTATTTGCAAGGCATTGAGAAAAAGACAAAATAGTCAGGCACAAAAACCCCCACAAGTTTGTTTTCTTCACTGCTTTGTTCTTGATTTGACAGACGAATGAACCAGATGTGACGTGTTTATTGTTTTTTTATAAATGCTGTCAGGTGGATTTGTCTACCTTTGGACAAAGCAGAATGGAGGTATACATAGAACTGGTTACAGGAACGGCAGGTCACGTGAATGTAAAGTCATTTTATTACCCAGCAGTATCAGTCATTTGGCCTCTAAAAGCTGTCACTACTAGTTCTCCTTATACCTCCATGGTTTGCCCCAGTTACATTCTTTGTGCTAAGCTAAGCTAACCGAAGAGTTATCTAAAAGTCAAACGTTAATTCAAAGATGGTTTTCTTGTCCTCTGACGGACCCGCCTCCAGCCCAGAAACACCTCATCATGTCAGCATCAGGACGACACGTGAATCACTCTGTTGATGGGATACCTCAAACATAAATACACACACACACACACACACACACACACACACACACACACACACACACACACACACACCTCTCTGAGAAGCTGTGCGTCCAGTTCTGATACCAAAACATGACTTTTTGATACTTGCCAAGGACACATGTTTTCTTTGTTTCTTACGTCTGACAGTTCTTCCGACTCCCACGGCAAAAGCTTTATTTTTCTACAGTTGATGTTCATCTAGACGTTGGGATGTTAGTTTTCTTGTTCAAGCGGAGCTGCTTATTGTTTGAAATGTTGGACGTATGTCATCTCTTTGTGTTCTGAAACATGACGTCCTCCCTCAGTGTTCGGGTCTGAGATGCAAATGTTCATATTTTGTATATTCTGTATGTATTTTATTTCATTTTAAAATATATTTTTTTACATTTTTGTGTTTATATTTATAAGGTAAGAAACATTCCTTATCGTTTTGGTTATTTATTTGAGTTGTTGAGAAATAACTCATTCTCGTTTAATTTGTTAATGTTTTTTGAAATGTACAGTTCTGACAGGAAATATTTTTTCATGGAATTTTTCAAATAAAACCTGTTTTGTATATAAACTGATTTTCTGTGTTTGATCCTTTCTTACTTCTGTGACGACCCCTGCCTTATTCTCTCCTGTTGTGTGTGTGTGTGTGTGTGTGTGTGTGCATGGCCCTTTAACGGTCTCCCTTCCTCCCTATCAGCGCTGATTGAGGGCACCTGGCCACCGGTACCGGAGGAGTGAAAGGCTCGAGCCAGAGGGTGTTTCTCAATGTCAAGGAAGGATGCTCCAGAGCCACTATTTCAAGGATCCTACGTCATCGAGAGCCGCCGAAGGACTGTTCCAATGTCCAGGCTCCTTGGAATTCTACCGAGCCCGGCGTCCTTCGTAGCGAGACATTTCGAGGCTGCACATGTGTATCCTCCGCGGTCTTAAAATCCCCACAATGCTTTGCGCACGGACCAATTTCCAAATCTTTGGCGGAAATTGCGCTCCATTTAAGGCGGGGCCTCTCATATGACGCACACCTGCCTGTTCCACCATTCTTCGTTTTCCGAGGCTAGGAAGGATTCTTACCTCGCTTCTGAAGGAAGTGACTCGGAAGAAATGTCCTACCAAGGAAGCGTCCTCGACATTGAGAAACACCCAGAGTCTCGTTCGCTCTCTCGGTTGGAGGATCTGTTTTTGAGAGCAGCTACCTGACTTGTATGCTTTTGTTTCCCTTCCTCTTAGTTTGGCATTCAGCACCTTGCACCACACCACGTTCACACACCCACACCTACACTACTGATCTTACTGATTAACACATCCCATTGTGGCAGTTCTTTTGTTTAGTTGTTTGGTTTACAATAAATATCTTCCTTATATCGTGTCCGTTCCACGTTTTTGTTATGGCCAAGAGCCAGGCCATGACACTTCTCTGAATAATATACGTCTTTTCAACCTCTCAAAGCCCTTTACATACGAGTCATTCACACATTCACACCTCATTCATGCAGAGGAGTGACACGCACACGCGCACACACACACACACACACACACACACACACACACACACACACACACACACACACACACACACACACACACACACACACACACACACACTGTTGGCCATCGGGAGCAACTCTGGGATCGAACCAACAACCTTCTTTTTTAAAGATTCCCACGCAGCCACAGTTAATGAAGAAAAAATCACATAACTTGAATTAAGTCAGATTTACATATATTATTTTGCCTCAAACCGTTATTCTATTGATACAGTGAGTCACTAATAGAGAAACACCAGTTATTTATTTAATACAAATAATCCAAGGAGACAAATTGTCATTAATTAAATTTGTCTTTGAGTAACTTCTACTAAATAATTGTTCAGTAGTTTTTATTGTTGAAAGTCTGTTTTCTTCTAATAGACGTTGGCTTTATACCCTTTTAATATATGTCTTAAGTGCGAACGGTGCCCAAAACGTGCAAATTAATCAATTCAAATAGTGTCCTCTTCAATCAATCCAGTTCATCCACCAACAGTTAGAAGACAAGTACTTATGTGTATTCATATGTACATATGTATATGGGAAATGCAACACCCCGATAGTCTATCTAAAGTCTGGGAATAAGGGCACAGTCACTGTACAGATAGTATTTAACATATACGTTGCTCAGTACGTCTAGAAATGGAAAAGTTCCACGTTTTAAATATAATACTGTAACATTTACAGCTTACAAAACAGCTAATACTAATCAAAGACCGTTAACACTAACTTATCATACCAGTAACAGTTGTTTTAATAGAATAGAATAGAATTGGGAGGGATGAAACCCTCTTTAATGATCACACATGCAGAGCACACAGCACACACAGTGAAATTTGGCCTCTGCATTTAACCCATCCTAGTACCAGGAGTCTAGTACTAGGAGCAGTGGGCAGCTATTGTACATTTTAACAAATCCAAGAAACTGTCTCTTATATATTTTCCTTTTCTTATTGTTTCTGCTTTAATCCAGAAAAGTATCAGTCTTTTTCCTGGACCAATATTCAATTATAATTTCAATGAAATTCCTTTGAGTGGTGAGTTTGTTTATAGCTAAGTTGTATTATAGAACTGCAGCGACACCGTGTGGCCGCTACTGAGAATACATTCACCTGGAGACACTGGACAGGAAATACACATTTTTATAATGGAATATAATGAAATTATTGATTTAAAAAAATACCTGTGTCCAATATTCTAGAGTTGGTTTTTAAAATTGGCTAAATCATTTTTTGAACAGGCGTTTTTGCGACAGCTATCGGCAGAGGTCCTTCCATCGTCAACACCGGAACAACACGTGAACAGAAGGTAAAACAGCAGCTAATGGTTCATAAAACATGAATAAACTAGATTAAATGTGAGTGTTTTTCATGTAATAACGTGTATTTATTCAACCCAAAGACACATAGAGACCTAACTTTAGACTGAATGTTTTTACAGTCCGGAAAATATGTAGTTTCTTGTGCACTCGTCGCCAAACTCCGTTTAATTAGTTAATAAAAACAGGTCAAACTATGTTTTAAAAGACAAGCGTGTTAATTAAATGTGGATTAAATACAAGTTTACATTTAATAAGAGGTGCCCTTCGATTCGGCTTATATAAAATATACAAAAAAGTGATACTTTTCTTAGTTGGTTTATACTTTTAATATATTATCCTATGTATTTCTGCTACTGTAGTCCATATTTCTGTTGCTGTAGTATATTGGTCTTTTATAGAACAAAGTATCTATCTATCTGGGTAATTTTGGAACTACTTTTTGCATTAAAAAACCCCAATAACAATCGCTCATATTAATTGACTTAAAAAATATCATAAGAAGAATAATTCAGCAGGTGTTACTCATGTGTCTGTGAGTGGTTCCACTGAGAGAAACCAGTCATGTGTCACTATATTATATTGTGTTTCACTGTTGGAGGAGCCTGTGACCTACGCATTTCATTGTCATAACTACACTGTAGCGATGTACACATGACAATAAAAGCCTTGAAACTTGAATCACTGGTCGTGTGTGTTTTTCCCATCAGAGGGTCAGGATGGGTCGCTCCTCAAAAGACAAGCGGGATATTTACTATCGCCTGGCCAAAGAGGAGGGCTGGAGAGCGAGGAGCGCCTTCAAGCTGCTGCAGCTGGACCAGGAGTTCAACTTGTTCACAGGTGAGACCCACACCCAGAGATGACACAAGTACACACATCCTTTACTCAAGTAGAAGTACAGATACTCGTGTTTAAAAAGACTCTGGTAACAGTAGAAGTACTTCTTTACTCAAGTCAAAGTAAAGAAGTATGGGCTTTGAAATGTACTTCAGTAAAAAGTACCCATAACTTCCAGCTGTTTTAAAGAGTACCTGACCTCCCTTTATATTAATAGAACAATAATGTCATTGTTAGCTAATGAATGTTTCCATGCTGAACAACGGCAACATGACAACGTTTTCATTGGTCCCTCTTCTTTAGAGAAGACCAGGAAATTATGGATACACGGATCGTGTTCAAATCAATAGGCACGCAATGACTCTAAATAATAATGATCACGCCACACATTCAAACTAAAGTAACCAGCCTGTTTGGAAAATATAAGAAGTAGAAAGTACAGGTATTAGTGTTCAACATGTAAGAAGTAGAAAGTTCAGGTATTTGGGTTCAACATGTAAGAAGTAGAAAGTACAGGTATTTGTGTTCAACATGTAAGAAGTAGAAAGTACAGGTATTTGTGTTCAAAATGTAAGAAGTAGAAAGTTCAGGTATTTGTGATCAACATGTAAGAAGTAGAAAGTACAGGTATTTGTGTTCAAAATGTAAGAAGTAGAAAGTACAGGTATTTGTGTTCAAAATGTAAGAAGTAGAAAGTACAGGTATTTGTGTTCAAAATGTAAGAAGTAGAAAGTTCAGGTATTTGTGATCAACATGTAAGAAGTAGAAAGTACAGGTATTTGTGATCAAAATGTAAGAAGTCAAAGTAAAAAATCATCAGGAAAATAAGTAGTGGAGTAAAGTACTGATACCAGAAAGATGTACTTAAGTACAGTAACAAAGTATTTGTTCTCCACTACTTCCCACCTCTGCCCACACCTGAGGAGGGGCTTCAGACAACTTTAATACAGTTATATCATATTGTGTTAACAGAACATTGGCCCTTCAATAGTGTTTTTATTTGTCCGACAGTTTCTAGATTTTTTTACACGGTCATCTGTATATTCTTCTTACTTGAGAAGTTTATATTTCAGAATAGTATATTTCTACTCTTTTAATTTGTTATTATGTGCAATGCCTTGTTTTGTTTCATGCTGCTGCAACAAAATAATCGTATCTTATATTATACCTATTTATAGTTATAAATGGGTATAAACGAGCCTTGTAATTGTCCGGTTCTTGCTCTTTGGGATGTTCTGCACTCCTCTGGTACACATCCAAGTGTCTGCCTGACTGTATTTTAGTTCTGTCTTTTATTAATGAGTTGTCGAGATTAATTTATTCCTATATTTTTCTTTCAGGAGTGAACAGAGCGGTGGATCTGTGTGCGGCTCCTGGCAGCTGGAGTCAGGTCCTCAGTCGGAAACTCAGGTTTTTATCTTTTTATTTTAAAACAGCCAACAGATTGATATTACGTTAAATGATTCTTAACAATACTGTTCCTATTTTATTGTTTTGATTTTCAACTCAGAGGGCTGGAGGAGAAAGGGGAGAAGGTCGAGGAGGTGAAGATCGTGGCGGTGGACCTGCAGGCCATGGCTCCTCTGCCGGGAGTCACCCAGATCCAGGGAGACATCACCAAGGTGAGGAAACGATGAATAAAACACCAAGTTGGGGTTTTACGTTCCTTGAGGGGATTGGATCATTCGTACGGTACCTACATGCACCTTTTCCTGTTTTATATGTGATCTGTGTCTGGAAATATGACCCAGATCAGAAGTAGGACTAGTTCTGCACCCAAATATCCGAATATCCGTTCGTTGGAGTATTATTCGGGTTTCAATTTCGTTATTCGGATATTCGTATTTATTTATTTTTTTCGTTTTTTTGAAAATTGAATTTATTGAAATCTCCAATATCAACGTAAGAGCTTGTGCCTCTTCGGGGGGTGCTAACACTTAACCATACACTTTATCGTTTACTTTCTCCGTCTTTATATGTAGATATGACTTTTCTCCGTTAATCTCCGTCACGTTGTTTCCATAGCAACAACAACTTTCTGTCAACAGCGCTAGCTCTCCTTCGAAATAAAAGCATGTCCATAAAAAATAGGAGGCCAAGAAATCACACTTAAGACATATACAACTGCAACGAAAGTAACAAACAACAATGCAATATCCTTTTCAATTTCAAAGAACACAAATCGGGTTAGACATTAACAAATAACTATAAAACAACAATACTGTAGAATAACAAAATAAATGCAGTGAATAAACCGAAATACACCCCCCCCCCCCCCGCGCGGGCCGAATATCCGAATATTCGCTGCTGATTACTACCGAATATCCGGAGCCTGAAAAATGGTATTCGGGACAGCCCTACAATCAACTAGCTCTGCATAACAGATTTCTAGGTTCCTGAGGAGATGGGAATTGTGTTATTTGTTCATGAGAAGGGTTTTTAAGAGGATCTGGTACAACTCAAGTAAAATGCTATGTCGTTACCTCCTTGAATTTGTGCATTTTCACCATATAGTGCCCCCTCCTTTTTCCTTTTTACAGTTCAGATACGGTCGAGCTTGTCCATGAGGTCTGGATTGTAGCTGGTGTCCATGTTCTCCACCCTTTTCTCAGTTTCGTTCATCGTTTGCATGTAAAAACCTCAACCTGCTCAGGAATAAAACCCACAAAGTAGTAACTCAATAGTCTTGATAAACAACTCTGAATAACAGTCCACAAAAAGTACAACCAGGATTTGTGAAAGCATCTTTGACATCACTTTTGCGACACTTACGGTGACTGGATAGGTCATGTAGTTGATGTTTTAATGACCTACATCCCTCCTGGTTTGTTAAAGACGAGAAGAAGTGCGTTGATGTGTCACATGACCTCCTCCTTCTTCTTCTTCTTCTTCTTCTTCTTCTTAGGTGTCCACAGCTCAGGAGATCATCCGTCACTTTGAGGGTCAGCCGGCTGATCTGGTGGTGTGTGACGGAGCTCCAGACGGTGAGACGCCGCTCACTTCCTGTCTGTCCAAACCTGTCCTTAAGTCTCTCCTGTCCTCCTGTCAACTTCCTGTTCTGTATCCATAGTAACCGGTCTCCATGACGTGGACGAGTACATCCAGGCTCAGCTCCTATTGGCCGTGAGTACGCTCAACGGTTTACTGATAACTCCTTTTGAAAAAAACATTTTGTATTATTATTTAATTTTTTTATTCTATTCTGTCATTATCTTTACCCTTGTGTGAATCCTGTTTTTAACTCTGACCCTGTTGCTGCTATAAACGCCTGCATTTCTCTGAAGGGGATACATAAAGTTCCATCTTATCTTATCTTACACAGGTGTGTTTGTTTTCACCTGTTCCTCTGTGATGTCACACTGACCCCTCTTCCTGTTTGTCTCTCAGGCTCTGAACATCACATCTCACGTCCTGAAACCTGGAGGGACGTTTGTGGCCAAGGTGAGTCTAACATTTAATCAAAGATTCTGTACATTTTCTATTCATAACTCACTCTTAAACTTGAAGCTGCAGCCTGTTAGCTTAGCTTAGCACAAAGACTGGAAACAGAGGGAAACTGCTAGCCTGGTCCACCATCTCTAAAGCTCCCTAAAAATTGATAAATGTTGTGTTTTTGTCCAAAAAGCTAAATCATTGGACACAAATGGTTACTCTCGTTTATTCCCACAGGGTAATTATTCCAGGCAGTGGTTCATTTATTTGCTGTTGGCGCTGTATGGCACGTCTTCTTAACATAAAGCGAGGGAGAGACTGTTGTGATTTCTCCCACTGTCAAAAATAACCATTTAACCCTTTCTTAAAAGAGGCCCTGCTGTGCTCTTTGGGGGTTTTCTGGTTCAGGTTCAGGTTATTTATTTGTACCCGTAGGTAGATTTTGTTTGCAGAGAAAAAGACAAGGGATCCATCCTGACACTAAAAACAACAGACACATCTCTAATAAAAGGACTAGTCAAAAGTACAAGCATACCCTGCTCAACCAAATCTCAAAATATTTCAGAAACATTTTAAGAAGAAAAACACTAGTACAAACATGGACATTCAAAAATCACAATTAAATAAATACAAATAGACGCGCCTATCATGTGTTCATTTGTGCAATAGCTGCCGGGATAAAACTGTTTTTATACCGCTTCGTTCTACTCCTTGGGACGACTAACCTCCGGCCCGAAGGAAGAAGCTTGAATTCTGAGTGCAGAGGGTGGGAGTCATCGTCTATCTGGATAACCACTGTAACTGCCTGAGGTACAGGGTCTGCAGGTTTAGCTGTAACTGCCTGAGGTACAGGGTCTCCGGGTTTAGCTGTAACTGCCTGAGGTACAGGGTCTCCGGGTTTAGCTGTAACTGCCTGAGGTACAGGGTCTCCGGGTTTAGCTGTAACTGCCTGAGGTACAGGGTCTCCGGGTTTAGCTGTAACTGCCTGAGGTACAGGGTCTCCGGGTTTAGCTGTAACTGCCTGAGGTACAGGGTCTCCGGGTTTAGCTGTAACTGCCTGAGGTACAGGGTCTCCGGGTTTAGCTGTAACTGCCTGAGGTACAGGGTCTCCGGGTTTAGCTGTAACTGCCTGAGGTACAGGGTCTCCGGGTTTAGCTGTAACTGCCTGAGGTACAGGGTCTCCGGGTTTAGCTGTAACTGCCTGAGGTACAGGGTCTCCGGGTTAGCTGTAACTGCCTGAGGTACAGGGTCTGCGGGTTTAGCTGTAACTGCCTGAGGTACAGGGTCTCCGGGTTAGCTGTAACTGCCTGAGGTACAGGGTCTCCGGGTTTAGCTGTAACTGCCTGAGGTACAGGGTCTCCGGGTTTAGCTGTAACTGCCTGAGGTACAGGGTCTCCGGGTTTAGCTGTAACTGCCTGAGGTACAGGGTCTGCAGGTTTAGCTGTAACTGCCTGAGGTACAGGGTCTGCAGGTTTAGCTGTAACTGCCTGAGGTACAGGGTCTCCAGGTTTAGCTGTAACTGCCTGAGGTACAGGGTCTGCAGGTTTAGCTGTAACTGCCTGAGGTACAGGGTCTCCAGGTTTAGCTGTAACTGCCTGAGGTACAGGGTCTCCAGGTTTAGCTGTAACTGCCTGAGGTACAGGGTCTGCAGGTTTAGCTGTAACTGCCTGAGGTACAGGGTCTCCAGGTTTAGCTGTAACTGCCTGAGGTACAGGGTCTGCAGGTTTAGCTGTAAACTGCCTGAGGTACAGGGTCTCCAGGTTTAGCTGTAACTGCCTGAGGTACAGGGTCTCCAGGTTTAGCTGTAACTGCCTGAGGTACAGGGTCTCCAGGTTTAGCTGTAACTGCCTGAGGTACAGGGTCTCCAGGTTTAGCTGTAACTGCCTGAGGTACAGGGTCTCCAGGTTTAGCTGTAACTGCCTGAGGTACAGGGTCTCCAGGTTTAGCTGTCACTGCCTGAGGTACAGGGTCTGCAGGTTTAGTTGTAACTGCCTGAGGTACAGGGTCTGCAGGTTTAGCTGTCACTGCCTGAGGTACAGGGTCTGCAGGTTTAGCTGTAACTGCCTGAGGTACAGGGTCTCCAGGTTTAGCTGTAACTGCCTGAGGTACAGGGTCTGCAGGTTTAGCTGTAACTGCCTGAGGTACAGGGTCTCCGGGTTTAGCTGTAACTGCCTGAGGTACAGGGTCTGCGGGTTTAGCTGTAACTGCCTGAGGTACAGGGTCTCCAGGTTTATCACTGCCTGATGTACAGGGTCTGCAGGTTTAGCTGTCACTGCCTGAGGTACAGGGTCTGCAGGTTTAGCTGTAACTGCCTGAGGTACAGGGTCTCCGGGTTTAGCTGTGGCTCACCAATCAGTCTGCTGGACCACTTTACGATCTGACTCAGAGAGTTTCTGCTCTTTAAAGTCAGGTTCCCAAACCATGACATTAGTGAAAAAGACAGAATTGACTCGATAAAAGCACGATAAAACATGATCATCATGGTTTTGTCACTGTTAAAATGGGACAGTTTCCTAAGACAGTACAAACGCTGGTGCCCCCTTTTGCACACAGCTTCACAGTTTGGATCAGAGCTACATTTTGAGTCAATAATTGTCCCGAGATATTTGTATGATTGCACAAATTCTACTTTCTGATTCTGGATTGTTAAGACTTCCTGTATGTGGGGATGTCTTCTAAAATCAATGATCATGTCCTTGGTTTTGCTTATGTTCAGTTGTAGAACAAATGGTCTGCAAAGATTAAAATCCTGAGTAGGGATGTCCCGATCACCTTTTTTTGCTCCCGATCCGATTCCGATCATTTGATTTTGACAATCTGCCGATACCGATTTTTCCCGATCCGATCTTTATGCAATGCATTAAGAGAAAAAAAAGGTAACAGATAACGGCTGTTCATCCAACGCGATGAATTCAGCTATCTTGGCTGTTATGTTCTGTTCTGGGGCAGTTTCTCTTTCCTTTTAAAAGTCTCTGAAAGTGTCGGTTGTTTCAGTGCCGTTACCTGAGTGGGCGCTGTGTACTCGTCGTGTTGTTGTTGGTGTTTGTATTAGATTGGTCGTGTTGAACGTAGCTCTGTTCTTTCCACCACGCGGAACCTCCACCTTGCAAACATTGCATCTGGCTGTTACACTGCCTTCGCTTTCAATTTTATAATACGTCCAAACTCCTGACATTTTCTCTGTCCCGACTCCCGAGTCACCAGCTGAACGTAGCCTCTCGTTAGCTTACTGCTACTATTAGACACTGCGCCCTGCCCACTCTGTTGCCAGATTTGAGAGAAATAAGCAACCAGGTCTATGAAAACAAGCCCAAAAGAAGCAACACATACATGATGTTGTGTAATTTTAAACCAAAACTAAGGCCTCAGGATGACTTTAAGACGTGAACATGGTCATTTTTGTTTTGTAACATTAAATAAAATAATACAAATATTTTATAAAAAATTCCCGATCCCCGATTTTTTTCTCCCGATTCCGATCTTTTGAAAATCACGTGATCGGCTCCGATCCCCGATCACGTGATCGGATCGGGACATCTCTAATCCCGAGTGTTACACAGTGATGTCACCATGTTCTGGAAGTAAACAAAGGAGTCCAATGGAGGCGTTTCAGGCTGGGGAGAGGGAGGGAGTGTGTGGGAGAGAAACACAGGGGTTTTAGCCTTTGCAGACCATTTGCACTAAAACCTATATGACACAAAGGGAAAACCCCAAAAGCTAAATAGGGCCCTTTAATGCTTGAAGTGTTTTTGTAAAACGTGCTACATAATTGAACGTGCCTTCCTTCCTGTTTTTAAGCGGCGTCAAACTGTGTTGACTCCTCCTCATGCTCCTGTGTTTCAGATTTTCAGAGGTAAAGACGTGACTCTGCTGTACTCCCAGCTCAAGCTCTTCTTCGGTGGTGTGACCTGCGCCAAGCCCCGCAGCAGCAGGAACTCCAGCATCGGTGAGCGACCAATCACAAGCCTCTAGTTATTGTTTAACAGCTGGGACTTATGAGCACAAACGTCACATATGCTCACGTCATTTTTAATTTTTAAATATATTTTGTACATCTCTGTGTTTTATTTATTTAGTTAAGAGACATTCCTCATTCTTTGGTTATTTATTAATGTTGTTTTAGCTTTTCTATATAATAATTAGTCCTGAAATTCAGGTTTAAGATTGTAAAAAATAACAATTTTTCATTTAATTTGGTAGTTTCAGTGTTTTGAAATATATAATTCTGACATAATTAACTTTTGCATAGACTTGTTTTGTAGATAAACTGATTTTCTGGGCGACGTGTTATTTATTTTTTACTTTTCTCAGAATAAAAACCATATTCCTTAAAGTGGACCTATCATGCTATATTTGAATAATATAGTGTAGGACCATACCTATATAAGGCATATTTATACATTTTTTTTTCAAAATACCAAACAGATCATGCATTTTAGCCATGCCTCATTTTGCTCAATTTGAAAAATGTTAGCTCTGTTTTTGCAAGGGCAGATTCTGTGAGCAACAGCACCATCTACAGGCCTGGCATATGTATTACAGCGTCTCCAGCGCTTTAGAACGGCAATGTCGTGGCTGTCTCCTCCTGATTGGTGGAGTTGGCCCAATAGCCGTAGCGCCACTGTCCTGACGTCAGGACAGTGTTCAAATCTGGATCAGTTTTTATCAGATCCGTTGCAGCCCCTTTTTTAGAGATTTGGGTATGGAGGAAAATAGAGAGGGTTGTGTTTTCTGACACTTGGTGAGTTCCCTGGAACACCGGGGACACATATTCATGTATAAAAGACGTACAAAAGTGCATTTTGCATGATAGGTCCCCTTTAAATTACCTCACATTTAATTAACTAATAGAGAAGCGCATTACACACTCCTCACTGTGTGTGTGTGTGTGTGTGTGTGTGTGTGTGTGTGTGTGTGTGTGTGTGTGTGTGTGTGTGTGTGTGTGTGTGTGTGTGTGTGTGTGTGTGTGTGTGTGTGTGTGTGTGTGTGTGTGTGTGTGTGTGTGTGTGTGTGTGTGTGTGTGTGTGTGTGTGTGTGTGTGTGTGTGTGTGTGTGTGTGTGTGTGCAGAGGCCTTCGTCGTGTGTCAGAATTACTCTCCTCCTGAAGGCTACGTCCCCAACATGTCCAACCCTCTGCTGGATCACGCCTACGGTAACTACCTGCCTCTCTTTTCCGCTTGTATATGTGATCTGTGTCTGGAAATAGGACACACATTTTCTACAATCAACTAGTTCTGCATAACAGCTTTCTAAGTGTGACCCTTAATGTTTGACAATATAATCAAAAGACCAAGATTTGACGCTGCTGTCACAGTCGAATCCGTCAGTAAAACGTGTATAAAATGACGGATCATTCCATTTGGGCTATATGGGGGTGTTGAGTGGCTTGAGATACAGGCTGTTTTGATATGAGCATCAGCATATTTATAACACTGTTGATACATCTGAAAATAACGCATGTGCTTTTACTGAATCTTCTGAGTGCGTGTGTGAATAAATCCCCCTGTAGACCGAGTTGGACTATTCTCATTTTTGCGACCATCGGAGCAGCATGTAGCTTTAGAAAATACACATGAGAGCACTAAACATATTCTTAAATAATGAACAATTCTCTGTTAAACTCAGCAGGTTGCAAGTTAGACAAATGAATTGAAACAATCAAATTTACTTTTGTAGCACTTAAAAAAGAAGCTAAATTAAATGTTTTTTTGTTTTTTTTATAATGAAAGCCGTGTTTCATGGTCATATCCCTAAATATGTTTTGCACATTTCGGCACAGCTTTCCACTTTAAAATATAAAACACTGTACCATGTATTTGAGTTTCTTTTGTATATTTGAGTCTGGTGTAAATACATCTCTTTCGTCTAATGCCAAATCGTTTTTTAAATCTTCTGACCTTCTCTAACTACTTATATTCTTAAGTTGTTGCACCATCACACACTAAAGCAAATGCCTTGTATGTGTAAAACGTACCTGGCAATAAACCCGATTCTAATTCTGATTTTGTTGTTTGTATTTTCAAAAGGTTACACACCTGTGTAGATCTCTGTTTTTTAATAGTCAAACTGGATCAGATTTGAGTTTGTGTTCCTGAGTGTGTTCTGCTCTCCCTCCCTCAGACGTGGACTTCAACCAGCTGGAGGGTCCGAACCGCGTCATCGTTCCCTTCCTGGCGTGCGGCGACCTCAGCGCCTTCGACTCCGACCGGACGTACCCTCTGCAGGTGAGGAAACACGGGGTTACCTTTACTGAGGGAAGCTGAGGGGTCCCACGATGTAATAATTAGACTGAAGCGCTCCTTTGTGCACCAGTTAATACTCAAATTAAATACAGAGGTCAATCTACTTATTTATCTAAGTAGTTATCACCGCAATAAAACGTATTTTGTAATTTTGTCTTAATTTAATTTCATATTCTGTTCTTGTACATATTCTATTGACATGTATATAGACTTTTTGCACAATTTTGTATTTTTGTATTTTATTATATATGTTGCATTGTTGGAGAAGCTCAGGTCAGAAGATTTTCATGTCTACACTGTGGCTAATGTGCATATGACAATAAAACCTTTGAATCTTGAATGTACGTTAGAGCAGTGCTTCTCAAAGTGTGGTCCGCGGACCACTCCGTGAGCGCCCCCTAGTAGTCCGTGAGTATATTGGTAAAATTTCACATTTGAAATAAATAAATAAATTCGAGTTTTCCGCACTCTCGCAGGAATATCTCCGCAATGGAGCGAGCTTAAGTTTCACTTTCGATTGCATGATATAGCCCAGCGCATCACCTTCCTCACATATTTTGCCATGCCTTGTTTGTCCCATTTTCAGGCGATTTGTAATCTGTTCTAGAAAAACTATGTGATTTTGGATATTTGTGGAGTTAGGTGGTCCGCGAGTGTTTTTTTATTTTAAGTGGTCCTTGGTATGAAAAAGTTTGAGAAACACTGCGTTAGAGGGTCTTTGAGCTTGTTTTCTCTTCAGTGATCGTGATGTTATGTGAAATGCTAGTTTTCCTTGTATCGTGTCTTAATATTTCTCCTTGTTTGATGTTGAAATGAAGCTGCTGTACTGCGAGAATAATTTCAGACTTGATCTTGACTTTAGGAGCCATATGTTAAAATGTATACTTTGTTATATTATGTGAATTATTTGAACATATTTCTTTGTTTTTGGTATTATTATATCAGTTATTTAAACCAGCAAAATTGACGTCATAGCCGACTGCAGCTGCTGGTAATTAGAAGGAAAAATAATCACGGAGCAAAATCTTGTTTTTGCTTGATTAAAGGTCACCTATTATGCAAAATCCACTTGTTCATGTCTCTTCTACATCAACATGTGTCCCCTCTGTGTAAAGTAACAGACAGAGAATCAGCACTTTTGAAACAGGGCTGAAACAGAGGGGATTATGGGATGCTGCAATGATCTGTTTGGTGTTTCAGCCAATCAGAGACATGTTCTGTATATATCTGAGACCTATAATATATTGATGAAAAACAGTATAATAGGGGACCTTTTAAAGCATTATTGTATTGTACCGTAATCCCAATCTCTCACCTGTTGTTTCTTCAGCTGGACTCTGGTAAACAGTACGAGTACACCCCCCCCACGCAGCCCCCGATCTGCCCCCCCTACCAGCAGGCCTGCCACCTCCGAAAAAACAACCTGCTGTCCAGAGAGGATGCCAAACGTCCCGACCAGAACCAGGACGAGACGGGTCCAACAGCCGAGTCCAACTCATCCGTCTGACAGCTGCTGATCTGTGGGGAAAGTTACACAGCTTTTAAATGGAACAGTTTGATATTATGAGATAGTGTCTTCTTTTCTGTCTGACAAGAAGATAGACATTTGTTTCATTTCCGTCCATTACAGAGGCCCAAGCATGTTTAGCTTAGCATAAAGACTGCTAGCCATTCCCTGCATCCAGTCTTTGTGCTAAGCTAGGCTAAACATGCGCAGGACTGTTTGCTGTACTTGGTATTTTTAAAGTCCTGGGAGTACGTGTTTACCACATTTGTCAGATTTTATGTTCCAGTATCTTTGGACAAATCTTTCATCCACCATGGTTGAGGAACTATAAGCATTTTGTATTTTAACAATAAAGTCATTTCTTTGAGGCGAACCAACATGGTGGTATTTTCAGTGTTATTAAACCCTGCATTATGTTCTTTGTCTGTCATGCAATTCTTCATGCTTTTCTAAATAAAACAGCCCTGCCTAATGCCTAAGCACACATTTCATCATCCAGTTCATCCCTTAGTAATAAACTACATAAGTACAGTAATTGGAGAGTGTAGGAATACTCTGTTACAAGTAAAAGTCCTGCATACAAAATGTATCTCAAGTAAAAGTTACAATGTTTTGGGATCTAAATATACTTAAAGTACCAAACGTAAAAGTAGTCAGTGCACGGCTGTGGTCCATTTCAGGATAACATGATATGTTTTATAATTATTGATGGATTAAAGTGTTATCAAAGCTGGTAAAGGTGCAGCTAGTTTGAATGACTTTGTATACTGCAGGGTAGCTTGTGAATTTACTCCAGGTCTGATTTAAGACTTGATCATATTGTTTATCATTAATATATATCTGTAACTAAAGGACTAGATACATAGAGTGGAGTAAAAGTACACTATTTACCTCTGAATTATAGTGGAGTAAGTAAAGTACAAGTGTCAAAAAAAGTGTACTTAGTTACTTTACACCACAGTTTATGTACAGTACTTACCGCAAACTGGAAAAGCCCCCCGGCGTACCCACATAGTGGTTTACGCGATGACGTCATGACGTAAGGTCTCGCACAACCGCATTGTTGTTGGGGGAAGAGAAGCTCGGGCAGCCGCTGAGCTCTGCCGCTTCTGACCGCTTCTTCACGTTATTACACATCAGTAATAACCCTATGCACAGTGAAATATAACACCCTGAGAACCGGCTCCGTCGCCCTGGATACCCGTGGCTCTCTCTCCATCTGCACTCGGTTCAGCGCTAGCCGTTGGATGATAAACGGACTGAATGTGGATTTAACTGCTGCTTCGCTCCGCAGGCCGCGCCGCCATTGCTGCTGTTTTTATAAGCTGAATTCGTGAAAATACCGAGGTAAGTTCAGTCTCACTCCACCCTCAAGTCTTTATTATCACCCCCAAACAGTGCGGGCTGGTTTACATCTAAAACCAGGCATTGCTGCTCTGAAGAAAGGCCTTTATTTTACCCAAAAAGAGGCAGTTTCTTGTTGTGTTTGTCGCCATATTTCCTCCCCCCCTTCAGTTAGCTGTAATGCTAGCAGGCTAGTTTATGGACGGAGTGTCCTAATGCGTTTCACCGACCAAAGGAGAGGGAGGACACCGAGGAAAGGACACCGCCTGGTCGTGGTTTCTTCCAACAAACATGTTTGGAGTGTTTCACGTTAAAGCTGTGACTAGAAATAAGGGAACATAAACGTTGTGGTTTGGTTAAAGAGGAGCTAACGGTAGCTAGTGGCTAGCATACCATTCAACCTAGAGAAACCGAACGAGCTGCTGTTAGCCGAGCATTCCCCGAAAACAAGCAGCTCTCTGCGGCTTCATGCGGAGCAGCTGAGCCCGCCGGAGGCTCGCTGCAGTCGGATATGAGTTGTGTGTTGCTCTGGGCACATTTCTTTCATTCATCAAGTGAACGCTATCGCAGTGGCAATCTGTTTCCGCCCCCTTTAAATACACTCTGCAGCAGCCAACTGACATCATGATCTCATGAATTAAAGCCAAACCTCAGAGTACACTAACGGTCCAATACTGTTTATGTTTAAATTGCACAATAAAGGGGAAAAAGCAGCTGTGTAGACACATTCTGTTTCATCTGCTGGCAACATACTAGATGGATAGATAAAATAGAACAAGCTAAATGTTGCAGGGGATGTTGCAAGACACACACACACACACACACACACACACACACACACACACACACACACACACACACACACACACACACACTGTGGTGGAAAAGGTACTCAGATATTTTAAGACATGCATCGGAAATATCACCGGCTTTTAACGTACTATGTATTATGCTTTCAAGATTTTGAGTTTAAACACAAAAGTATTAACATCAACTTACTCAAAGTACTTGTTATGAAGAAGGTCCTATTTAGTATACTAAATAACTGAATTATAATCCTTAAGTTATTAATGTATTTATATATTGTATAATAAAAACCTGCAACCTTATAGGAAACTGAAGTGATCCAATATATGTGTCCAAAATGTAGTTAAGTAGTATAAAACCTAAATCCTGAAGTACAACTTTAGGGTAGTTGTCCTTTGTACTTTAGTGTTTGCACTTTGTTGCATTCTTTATCCAAGGAGTTCACTGACTATCATGCATTGGTTTTGTAGTCTTTGTTAAACACAGTTTGACTTGTTCTCTGGGTAAGGTGATCAATATTAAACATGTTGTATCATCCAAGGATCATTTATTTTCATTCTAAGAGACATGGTTGCACAACAAAATGCAGTGCGGTCCATTTGTGCTGCAAAAGATCAACTCTACAGAACAGTAGCACATTTTTTGAATTTGCATCATCAGGAATGTAACCGGCAGCTACCAAAACAATGTGGAATAAATTAACATCAGGGAAACATTAACCATCAACTCTGTTTGCGTACCAGGTATTGTTCATGTAAACACAGTCTTTCTCCTTTCCTCACTGGAGTCCTGGGTTCTACCCGTCAATTGCATAGCTGTCACAGCAGGTTCGCATCAGTTTCTTATTCCTTCCATATTATTTTCCTATAACCAGACATCATCCAGGAGCAGTCTAAGTAGTTGCTAAGCTTGAGGTCCTAGCAGGGGGGGTTAGCTTGGTTCCCATCTTGGCTCTCCTTCCCCTCCCGGCCTGTCCGTGCTCACTGGAGTTTGCTCCAGCTGGTCTGGCTGTGTGGACAGAAGTTTCCGTGAGCTCGTCTGTTGCACTTTATCCAATCCGCACGCTTCCTTTTCTTTTGTAGTAGTAGCACATATACCGAATGGTCAATTAATGATAAGCTCTTTTGTAATGAGGTCCTTGAGGTTATCTGCATTAGTAAAACATTGATAGTGTTTATAAAGGACTGGCTTATCTAAAGCCAGTTGAGTAGCACTTGAAATGTTTTGGCTTAGAAACCTGATGTACTTATATGATTCTGTTTTCTTCAAGTTTGTATCTTCTTGGTCGAATGCACTTATTGGAAGTCGCTTTGGATAAAAGCGTCAGCTAAATGTAATGTAATGTTTTACGCTTGTTCTGTATCAGAATTCCAACTAACTCGCAAAGATGAAATGTGTGTTTTGACTGGAAATAATTCTCTGGTCCTCTATGATTAAAGGCTGAAAGAGGTGATGACATCGTTGTGTAAACACAAGCTGCCCATCATTAGTTATGCAATGTCTCATTGATATTAATCATTACTGCAGGTTCTGTTAGACCCAGCATTCTGCTCTGTGTACTGGTTGTTGCTTTGCAGAGTTAATGATGGGAAACGCTGTCAGTTGCTGCCACAGCATCCTACAAGTCTTTCATTCACAGTGTTTTTTCTGGATTTCAGGGTCTTTAGGCTTCATAATGAAGAAGAAAATTCGCCATCACCGGCCTGCGGTGCTGAAGAGAGATTCCTCTCCCATCAAGCCGTCGCCAAACCGCGAGACGCTAACATATGCAGAGGCACAGAGAATTGTAGAGCTGGAGGTGGACGGCCGCGTTCACCGGCTCAGCATCTACGACAAGATGGACGTCATCTCCGACGACGACCCCACGGCGCAGGAGATCATGGAGTGCAACAGCAACAAGGAGAACAACGAGAAGCCCCAGCAGGTCCTGGTGCGCTCTGTGCGCCTCAAAAACAACCAGCAGAAGAAGAACGCTGCACTCATGGCCTCACACGGTGTCACCAGCACACACAGCAGCACCACCGGCCTGTTGGAGGCAAAGGTTAGAACGGTGGAATACAACCTTCCGGTGGTGCCCAGGAGGCCGTCGGCGTATTACAAATACACGGAAAGGACGGCGGAGGAGTTGGACGAGGAGGTGGAGTACGATATGGACGAGGAGGACTACGCCTGGTTGGAGCTCTTCAATGAGAAGAGGAAGAACGATGGCATCAGTCAGGTATCTCACAACCTGTTTGAGTTCCTCATGGACCGCTTCGAGAAGGAGTCGTACGCAGCTACGCAGGGTCAGAGCGACCTGCAGTCGCTGGTGGACGAAGACGCTGTTTGCTGCATCTGCATGGATGGAGACGGAGCTGACAGTAACGTCATCCTCTTCTGTGACTCCTGCAACATCGCCGTGCATCAGGAGTGCTACGGCGTGCCGTACATCCCCGAGGGCCAGTGGCTGTGCCGCCACTGCCTGCAGCGTCCGTTGCGGACTTCTGAGTGTGTCTTCTGCCCCAACAGAGGCGGAGCCATGAAGAAGACCGACGATGACCGCTGGGGCCATGTGGCGTGCGCCCTGTGGGTGCCCGAGGTCGGCTTCTCTGACACTGTTTTCATCGAGCCCATCGACGGTGTTCGTAACATCCCACCGGCGCGCTGGAAGCTCACCTGCTACCTGTGTAAAGAGAAGGGTGCAGGAGCGTGCATTCAATGCGACAAAATCAACTGTTACACCGCCTTCCATGTCAGCTGCGCCCAGAGGGCCGGCCTCTACATGAAGATGGATCCCGTCAAAGAAGTGACGTCGTCCGGCTCCGCCACCTTCTCTGTGAAAAAGACCGCCTACTGCTGCAGCCACACGCCCGAGGGCTGCGACCGCCGGCCGCTCACCATCTACGACGAGCCGCATCCCAAAAATGGAGCCTGCCACAAGAGGGCCGACAAGAGGGGGAAGTACCGGGGCAAAGGCTGGCAGAAGAAGAAGAGTAAAAGAGGGGAGCCCGAACCAGAACCACAGCCTGAGACCCCCACCAACGCTGGGCCCAGTATCACTGCTTCAAGGTAGGCACTGAACTTCTGTTCAACATAATGCTGTATAAACCTGGAATTATCAGAAATCATTTAAAAGGAGTTTAACGGGTCAATAAACAGCAGTCTGACCATCATAACCGAGTTAATGCAGATATAACGAACAATAATATAAAGCTTAAAATATAGAGAATGTTGCTCTTTAATTATAAGTGTTAATGGAAGAACATTTCATTGTTTCCCCATCAGTTTCGACACCATCCTGAACCAGGTGGCGGTTCAGAGGAAGCGTGTCTTCGTGGAGCGAGTAATG